TCCATGGAAATGCCTTAAAGATACCTAAAGCTTTCAGTTGCTTGTTTAGCCAAGGTGGTGCCATTCACAGCTACTGACTAAGCAAGAACTGCCTGCAGTCCACTGTGAGAACTCCCTAAAAATATGCTTCTCATGTGTATTTTACAGATGTGATTGGGTTTTCAGGTACAGGATTCTTCTCCCTGTTTAAAATTCTCAAAGTATTTATGAAGTGGTTTTGCCCATGGAAGTGAATATTCTCCTGAATCACAAACTGTTCTAAGATCTCTTATGTTTTTGTCAACACAAAAATAATTCCTGGACCTTTCACAAACATTTTTGTTAATTACAAAATTTAATTTTTATTAAACAATTAATTTTGGTAATTGTTTCACCGGATGGCTGTCTGAAGTTCTTGATGAGTCACTCATAACTGGGTATTTAAAAGATATACCTGAACTTCACTGGATTGAAATTAAATAGCACAGCCAAAGTATACATTAAAGGATGCATTTGGAGATATAGATCTCCAATACTGATGTGATTTCTCAGTTTTAAGCCTAATCCATATTGTTTAATTAACTTTTTAGTATATTAGTTTGTGAAGATTCATAATATTTGAAAAAGTAGATAGTTTTGAACCTTTCTTTTCTAAAATGAAAAGCAAATTACAACATATTAAACATTCTGTTAACATTTGGTTTTAGGTGTAAAAAATAAACAGAGAAGAACTAACATAAAACAATTCTGATGAATGTTACCTACAACTATATCCACTAAAAACCAGCTATACAGAGCTATGTAATTTTGGGACAGCTCCACAATCTGGACAGTGTAACTGATTTAACACTGCCAAACTCTATGAAAACCAAACTAGAAGTCAGTCTTTATCAATGTCATCCAATATCCAACGGCATGCAGTTACCAGTGTATGATGGGCACATCTTCCTTTGGAATGAACATTCAGTACAGCACAGCAGACCAAACTCAGACAGTAATTTAAATACAGTTCAGCATTCACACACTAGATAATTTTAGATAATTTTAGCTATTTACCTTAGGATATGTCCTAAAAGCTCCAAGATTTACTTTTCCTGCAGATATTGTTCTTGTTGGATCAATCTGTAGAAATACAGGTAATACTCATTACATACATTTTATTATTTATTACAGGCTTAAATTAAGTTTATAGCAATTTTATTTCAGAAATGTAATTCATGCAAATTGTATTAGTTCTGTCATAAACAATACTTTTTCTGCTGGTATAAGACTCTCTAAAAAGATGGGAGTATCAATAGCCTTCACTGAATGATTTTTTCAAGCTAATTTTCCTTAGTTTCCCAATACTTAAAAATCCCTTATGCTTAATAACTATACAGTGAAACAATGCAGTGACAATGGTCCAGGCAAGCAACACCACTGGTTTGCCCAGTATGTGGCCAGCAAAGCAGAAGGAGTGGCACCAGTTTAAAGTGTGGATCTAACACCTCCATCATACAAAGTACACGCTGCTAAAATGCTAAGAGACAGAAATCCCAAAATGATTCCCCTCAGCACGATTTGCTGTGCAGGGTTATCTATCACCCACCAGCCAGTACTTACAACCACTGCCACGAAGGGCTCCTGAAATTGCTGGTTCAGCATCTGGGTGCTGACGTCGATGCCCGAGAGCCAGCAGCCGTAGCCGGGGTGACTGTGATACCAGCCGATGGCATTTTCCAGGCGTCCCACCTAAGGAAGAGTGGGGAAGGGAAACAGCTCCAGCGTTCAGCTCCATTCCCAAAGCACCGGCTGCCCTCCAGCGGCGCTTCCAGCACGCTGCAAGGCGCGGCAGGATAAACGGGAATTTCCACTCGGGATGAAATATTCCCTAGAAGCTGAATGAGCAGCACTGGCATTCTCTGCTGCAGCTGCTGCCACAGAACAAAGGCCTGCAGGGAGCCTGGAGCGCCTTCTTCAGTCACAGCTGGAGTACAGGAGAGGTTCCACACAGCTGGATGGTGAGCTGCAGCTGCTCAGCACGGCTGAGAAATTCCTTAGCACTGTAACACAAGTATATCTAACCCCATAGGTTATACATACATATATACATAGTAGGGAACATCAGTAGAGAGTTACTTTTTTAGTATGGTAACATATCTCACAGGCATATACTGTTAGACTAGTGGTAGGTTTAAAAAAATAACTTCAAAGGTACGCTTTCAAACACCAGAAGTGACAGAAATTATTGCCTGGAGACAGGTTTAAAAGCCAAAAAAAGAATTTTGGACAACTTTTTCTCAGATAAAACCTCAAAATAGGAGTTTCCAAATAATATGCCTGGTTATCTCTAAAAATGCTGGAAGAGAAAAGAGCAAAGCCAAAAAAACCCCAGGAGAATAAACACCCATTGAACCAAATTTTTGTAATCCTCTCTAAGGAATTGTTTACTGGCTGCTCCAGTAGTGATGAGACAGAACATACTAACTGCCTACCTTAGTTTTTAACTGGTGAAGAATATTCATATTTTCTTTACAACTCCCATGAGAAAGACCAACAAAACACTAAGGAATGTGTGGTCTTTTTCAAAGCCAAATGGGACATTTGAACTACATTAAGACTAGATCCTGTCCATGGAAAATCAACTAACTGAAACAGCAGCATCTATAAAGCACTTCTATACGGGGATACATTAACTAGCACTTAATGATAAAGAGAGCTGTTCCAGGAACAAGTGCTTGCCAAAATCAAATGTGAAACAGCCAGCATGAAAACTCTGCCAGAGCACCAGGAAAGCAGAGTTATTTTATTTGCACACAAGTTCATTTTCAAAATTGTGAAACTGACTACAGACAAAACTGAACAACATAAACAATGGGAAAATAAACATTTCCTGTCACATAAGAACTCCTACAGAAACCTGGACTGTTTTAAACATAAGACAAGCTGTTTACAATTTTATGCTATATACTTACCACTGTGAAATTCAGTATTCTACCTAAGAATGGGATTCTATGAATATATCTGTATTCAAAGATAGCATGACTGTATCTTTAGGCAAAGACATCTCTTCAAGTTACCTACTTTTTGCAACAAGAGTATTAGCATCACAACATTGTTTTCAGAGAAAACAAACTAGATTAAATTAATTATTTCTGCATTTTCTCACAGGGATGAATCATTTTAAAAAGTCCCATCTCTTCAAGTTACCTACTTTTTGCAACAAGAGTATTAGCATCACAACATTGTTTTCAGAGAAAACAAACTAGATTAATTATTTCTGTATTTTCTCACAGGGATGAATTATTTTAAAAAGTCGCAGAACATAAATATTTCTGCATTATGTTTACTCTTTGCTGATGTTATGATTCAGCCTAATGCACATCCATGTCAATATCTTCAACTCTTTGTAAGGATATGAAAGTTCAACTCTTCAAAAGAACCCAAATACACCTCTGTTATATCCACTTAGTATGTAAGGGGCTTCTAATTTTAGCTGGTTTAAAAGTCAGTGGGTCAACTGGGTATCAAAACTCTTTGAGACTGGAGAGTTAAAGTTATTTTAACTCTTATTTTTAGTATAGACTTGTCCTGTATTGGAAGAAGCACATCAGCAAGTGCTCTGATGTGCTGTGCTGGTTTCCACATCAGCCACAGAGCCAAGCTGTGTTTCTGTTATCCTTCTGCACATGAGAATTCCACTGTATAATCAGCTTTAATATGACGTGGATCTCTGAACAGAAAGTGACAAAGATGAGAAACAGACAAGCAAGCTGAAAATGTAAATTTCCAAATGATAAATATGAATAACTAAGTTTCACTGAAACTTACTTATCCCTTCATTGGCCTCTTCTTCACAAATATGTGTTTTTAAATAGAAAGAGCAACATACTATACAGTAAGACCTCAGAAGAAGGTAAGAATAAATGTCATAATTCTGATCTACAAATACTAAGTATGTCCAATGCAGGCAGATATTTAATTTTACATACTGTTTTTAGAAAGAAGTATCAGTCATTTTAGAAACACACTCTCTCACACAGCCAGCAGCCTCAGCCACAGAAACACTTCCTCAGCAATGAAAATAATTTACACAAAGGGAAGGAGAATGCACTACTTTTCACAGAATCATTAGGTTGGAAAAGCCCTCCAAGATGATCGTGTCCAACCTTTGATGACCTACTGTAAATCAGGGAAATATGTATGTGAAAATGTTTACAGAGACATTTGTTCCGTGTTTACAGAGACATGCGTTCCGTGCTGCTGACATAGTTCTTACGGTCGTGTTAGAGGAGAGACAGAACAACGGGGCAGGCACTTCATCACCGGGGGAGGGAGAAGGCCAGGAACGCCCCAGGTGAGTACAGAATCTCACGGGGAGGTCACACACCCCGTGCCGCCGCTCCTTACCTGCTTGGCGTTCTCGATGTAGGCGGCCATGTACTCGTAGGCGGCGGCCTGCGCGTTGACGCGGGTCTCGGTGCCCTCCACGGGCAGGGCGAAGCTGTCCATGATGATCATGGTCTCCCCGTCCACCTTGCCCAGCATGAGCCCCATCACCTCCAGATTGCCGCCGGACCTGGCGTGCATCACCATCTTCAGCAGCGCCAGCGCCGAGATCTTGCAGTACTTGAAGTAATGGTGGCTGCGAGAGCGCAGAGGCCGCGGAAGGGAAGGCAGAGCCATCAGATCCCGCCGGTCCTCACCGCCCACAGCGCCCGCCCGCTCCGCCGCCCCGCTCCCACTCACTCCTTGGTCCAGGGCTTGGCCGCCAGGATCTCCTGCTGCTGCTTGCGGTCGTACTTGTAGATCTCGTCGATGCTCTGCGCCTCCTGCATATTGTTCGCCAGCTCCCAGGTCTTCTGCGCCATCCCGCTCCCGGAGGCGCCGCTCCCCGCCGCCGCCATGGCCCCGCTCGCGGCCCCGCTCCGCCGCACCGGGCCGCCGACGGAACCAAGCGGGCGGCGCTGCGCCCCCAGCGGCCGCGCCTGGCTCTGCACGCGGCCGGGCCGCAGCCCCGTGAGGCGGCACCGCGGAAACCCGACCCCGGCCGGGCCGGGGCTGTCTCACTATTTATCCATTTGTTTATTTTCTCGTGCTTTTAAAATTACTGTGACCAGTCCGGGACTACTCAGTACGAGAGAGACACGGAACATCTGGAGCGGGTGCAGCAACACAGATGTGTAAAGGACGGGAGCATCTCTTCCACGAGGAAAGGCTGAGGGAGCTGGGCCTGCTCCGCCTCGAGAAGGAGACCACTGAGAGGGGCCCTTATCAATGTACGTAAGTGCCTGAAGTGGGAGGCGTCGAGAGGATGGAGCCAGGCTCTGCTGGGAGGTGCCAAGCAACAGGACAAGAGGCAAGAAAACTGATGCACAGGAAATTCCCTCCGAAGATGAGGAAGAACTGCTTTCCCGTGCAGGTGATCGACCACAGATTGCCCAGAAAGGTTGTGGAGTCTCCCTCCCTGGCGATGCTCGAGAGCCGTGTGGATGCAGTCCCGTGCCGTGTGCTCCAGGCTGGCCGCGCTGGGCAGGCAGGCTGGCCCGGCTGACCCGCTGCGGTCCCTTCTGACCCGCCCCACTCCGGGACGCTGGCAGCTGGTCCCGGCCCTCCGGAGGGGCCGCTTGTTGTGCGGCCGTTGCCTGACAACGGCGCCGCGATCGGAAAGGGGCCGAGCCCCGGGTGCGCATCCCCGCCCCGCCGCTGCTCCCCGGGGCGGCGGAGCCTCGGGAGCGCCCCGGAGGCGCTGCCCGGGAGGGAGGGAGCGGGGCTGGGAGGCGGGCGCTGCAGGCCGGGGGAGAGGCGCTTCCCCGAGCCGCCTCCCTTGGAGAAATAAACCTGATCTCCCGGGTCTGAAAGCTTTTCGAAATTAGCGTCTTTTTGGATCAAATGACGTGCTTTGAAAAAATAGATAAGCCCTGTAGTGGAGGGGGAGTAACTCGCGGAACTTGTTGCTTGGTTGTTCAGAGGATAGGTTGCCTTCTCAGTTGCGAAAAAGTCGCGTTGCTTTAGTCAAGAGTTTATTATTTGTGAACGGTCAGACCCTGGAATCTGTGCTTTTTCAGCAATGAATTTGAAAGAAAAGTCCAGGGAGCGCGTCTCTGGCAGCAGTAGCTCATTCTAAGTGCCATTCACAAGGGTACAGAAGCAGTCAGTGCTGATTCCTTAGGAAGTTTGGGTTAAACTTTAAACAATGTTTCTTAATGACACAATTAGTGGCCGTGTAACTTGTAAGTACAATTACTAAACGTGGCATATAGTTGCTCTTTCAAAGCATTTCCCTCCTTGCCCCCCGTGCTGCAGTTCATGTGGATGGGAATTGCCATTTTGCCAGTGATCCTGATGATATTTCAGTATTGTGGTGGCAAGAAGAGACGAAATCTGCTTGCACATGCTGATTTTAAATTTTGCGCGTTTTCCTGAACAATTGGGAGGGGAAGGGAAAGATTAAAATGGAATGCAGTAAACATTGCTTCAGGTGTTAAAGTAGCTACTCAGTATGTAGGTAAATAAAGTACCATGAATAGAGAGACATACATTGTTAACTCTTTTTGGGCATAGATCCAGTAAAAATCTCATGTTCAGACTTGACTTATTGTTCTTGAATATCTGTATGCTTTCTATTGCTTGGTGTGTTTGCTTAAGTTGAAGTCTACCTAGGTGACTCTAATTACCCAGAGATGCCTTTGTGAAAACTCTGAATAAGGAAAAGAGGCTATGAAAGTCTAAAATCTTCTTGAAAGAAAAAAATATGTAAAAATATTTTAATGGGACATTTTCAGATAGTACCTGAATATATAGCTGCAGTATGTTTAATGGAAATTTTACTTTGAATAATGCGTTGTTTTGGGAATGCAAATTATCCAAGATTTAAAGTTGCAAGAGCTAAAGAAAGGCTGATAGATATGTCCCGTCGACATTTTTTAGAAATACCATTTACAAAATACTCTGTTTTCCAAAAAGCTAGAAAAATACGCTTACACCTCATGATTTGGAGGGCATATGGATAGATTTTTAAATGTTTACAGCTCATTCTGACTTTCCCTTTGCACTGTGTACATGCCCATGAAGCAATATCTCCCGGCTTGGTTTTGAATCGGCTATTTTACTGGAAATTGCAAGGATCTGGAAATGCACAAAAAGAACTCAAATGCATTGCTAAGCTGAGAATAAATGGTTTTGTTCTGAATTGGTGTTACAGTGTCAGGCTGTGCCTCAGTGTGTTTGTGCAGCCATGGGAAGCCAGTGTGAAGTTGACAGTTCCCTGTGAGTTCAGTGCTGTCACCTCCAAGGTAGTTCACTGCACTCCTGGGGGCCGTGGTAGCCCTCTTCTCAGATTAGAAATGTGTTCTTTCTTAACTTTTATTGTGATTAGTCATGATCTTTTCACATGCTACAGTAGATGATAAAATTGACTAATATTCAGTGTGATATTTGCTTACGTGCTGGTATATTTTTGGAAATTAACAGTGTATATTTCACATTGAAGTTATCACTCTTTTTGCTGAGAATAACTTAGAAATTCTTTTTTGGTATAATATATTCTTTTTGCTTATCTCATAAAGCTTGCACTCATGCATATTTTAAGAAGATCAGCTCAAGTTAGAAGGGTGTTAAGACATAAAATGTCTGGATATTTCTAAGAAGGTATATTTGGCTACGCTTCCAGGAAATTGTGTGTATTAAAGGTGTGCTGAATCAACAGTCCTGTAGCATTAGTCAGCTTAGTGTTCTTCAAGGCCTGGAGATGCCAGCTCTCTTCAAACCACTTGAATTTTCTGTGTAGTTAAACTCTAACTGTTTTGTCTTTGGTTTTAAATTTATTATGTTGCTCTTTTGAGCAATATGATAGGAGTGCAGAATGCTGGAATATTCATTGTGTTCCTCATGCTAGTTAGAAAAGACACTGCAAAGACTCTTTTCCTTATGTCAGCTCTTAGAGTAAGTTTGGTACCATTCCCATACAGTGATTTGGAAACACTGCTGGAGGTTATAAATGTTGTAAATATTGTTGTAAATAGAGATAGGAAATAGAGGCTGTTGTAAATAGAGATAGGAAATACAGGCTGTTGTAAATAGGGATAGGAAATATAGATGTTACTGTCGTGAGCTTTTGGAAAGGCTTCTCACAGTGCCTCCTACGTGTGGTAATTTTCCTCTTGATGACTATGCAGCACTGGGTAGGTGATGAGACCAACTTATACATTTTTTTAGTATGACAAGTTGTTTCACCCTTTCAGAACAGTTTTTTCATTATTGTTATGTAACCTAATAGGCTAAATAAAATTTACCATGCCTGGAAACTTATCCTCTTCCAGATTTCTTTTATCCTTTATTGGTGTGTAAAACTAATGAGATTAAAGATTTAGGACAAATCAGATGGGGGGATTTATTTTTGGCATTGATTGTCCTGTATTACCACTAGGAATTATAAATGGGTTGGCCTAGTTCTGCCTCCTTTGTAATAATATTATAATTTTATATTATGAATCAAAAAAGAGAAAAAGTTTAAAGGAGTACATTCTAAGGAATAAATCAAGCAAATGTGTTCTGTAAATTAAGTTAACATGCACTTACTTCACTTTATCTTATAGAATTTGTGCATTTTTTATTTCCATTTTGCTTCTACTGAGAATTTATCCCAGTCTCTCTGGACACATTATTTTTATGTTTACGTGTGTGTCACCTTATTATCTTTGAGGTGGTGGTTTGAGGTTTTTTTTGTTGCTGTTTTTTTAAAGTTCTTCAATCCTCTTCCTGAAACTGTTTTCTAATACACCTTTATCATTGGCCTCTTGTTTACTTCATACAATCACATAGAGATACTGAATTAGCCTCAAAAACCCTGCTGTCTTAATTTAGATACTGGATTGGATGGGATTTTTCAGGAACCTGCATAAGCAATCCTTTTGCTTAAGCTACGTGGAGTGATTTGAGGGTCATAATTTCCTTAGCAATTTCTTCTCACGATAGTAACTTAAGCACATAATTAATTGTGTGATTTGGTCCTTATTTTAGACTGTACATGTATTTTGCACTTTTTGTACGTTTTTCTAATGATTCCTTCATCCCATGTTTACTTTTCTGTGTTTTCTAATTTTGATTTTATAGCTCACTAGGAGTAAGCTTGTGCTGGTGTGTAGTGAAGGGTCATTGGTAGACTTGCAGTTAAAGCAAACAACCCCCAGATACTTCAACCACGTTAGGAAAAAAAGATTAGAGAAGTATCTTCAGTCTTGTAATCTGGAATTTTTGAATTTTCTCTCTGGTGAGACATCAAGTAGTCTCCTCCATGGATGGGTTTCCAAGTCAGTTGTTTTGTTGACCCAGCAAATATCTTAAGGCTCATAGTTCTGAGGGAGAAATTGGATTTTTTTTTAACTGCTGTCTTAAGCAACAGTAATTGAGCTTTATATTTTTGAGGTTCTCATGTAAATGCCATGTTCTACATCTCTTCTGTAATCTAGAAATGATGGCGGATGATTTAGAAAAATTTATTGAAGACCAGAAGGCCAAGTTGGCACAAGATAAGGCAGAACTTGAAAATGATCCACCTTACATGGAAATGAGGGTAAGAGTATTAAAAAGCTTTCCTGAATTTAAATACTTCTGTTGCCAGAGTCTTGACTGAAGCTTGTTCTTACTGTGCACTTAAAACTGTATTTGTTGGTAAAGAATATATTAAAGATTTATCTATTCAAAGGAATTTCCAACTTGAGTACTTCATATCTTTATGTGGATTTTTAAAAACCTGTTTGCCACCAAGCATGCACAGTGAGATTTGTGTTTTGCAAGTGAGAAAAGCTTTGGCTTTTATTACTCCTTCACCCTCCTTAGGGAAGCTGATTAGCAGGGATCTGTCCTCTGCCCACTCCAGAGCTTGGATGTTGGAGTGGGAATGGAAGGTATAAATATCCTCAAAATTTCTGTTCCAAAATCTATGAAATATAAAAGGTAAATAACAAAAAATTCTCTTCTTATCACAGCTTTCCTATTAGTAATTTTAATGTATTAATCCAGCATTACTTTCAATCTCTCTGTTCTCCAGTGCTAATAATTACTAATGTTCTTTTATTCCTCTACTTTGTGATGCAATAAGGCATTTTGTTTTGTTTTCAGAATAAGGAATCAGAGAAGCTTTCTGAAACTAGCAAGATGTTAATCTCCATGGCTAAAGAAAATATACCTCCAAATAGTCAACAGAACTACCCTTCAGGTACAGTATATTCTTTAATTATGTCTTCTGGAGTTAAGTAGCATTTAATTACCTTTGACAATTTTTGGAAGGGTATTACTGCTTTGTATCATTAATCATTAGGATGATCATTGTAATTCAAGTGCATAATAATTCTTCAGTCTTCCAAAAGTCTTGGCATTGTATACAATTTTTTTTTGTAGTTAGGCTTTTTTCTTTTTTTTTTCTGGCAGGAAAATATGCCAAAAGCTGTTTCTTTCTTCTTGCAAGGTAGTGCCATTAAAAATACTCCAAATGAACCAAAAAACTTGCTTGACAGTCCTTGATAGGTGATGTGTCCTTTCCTGTTGTATTTGGGTGGAGCAAAATCTTTGAAAGTCCATTTTTCATCTAGACTTTACTGCAAAAGAGTACATGCCAGGGAAGCAGGGCCTCTTTCTTTCAGCCTCTTAAGAGTTCTAGTCCAATTTGGCTAAGATGCACACAGTTAAACTAATTTTTGTTTTAAACAGCGTCTTTCAGGCAGTTTAAACTGTTTCTATTTCTTTTGTAATTTTGTTACAATATAGTTACTCATTGTGCAAGGAAATCTTAACCGGGTGAAATGGTTGGATTTATTTTGATAAGGCTACCAGCTTAATATCTGTTTACTTTATGTATTGTCATTTTTCTTCTTTTCTCTGTGTTCTTTGTGACATTTGATTGAAAATGTGTGATAGTGTTCTTTTCTTCATTTTCCTTACTTGTCCTACCATCCCCCTTTGGTAGGCACTACTGTTTTTTCTTAGCTACACTTGTGTAGCTCAGGTTGGTTCTGAGAGCTTTAGAGCTTTCTGTGTCCTATTTCTTGTTGATAATTAACTCTTTTCTTTCATGTGTAGACACTTTGGGTTAGTACCTCTTAAATTTTCATACTGTGCCTACTGTAATTCTGGTGTAATTCTGTAGCTTCCAGTGGGATGGAGCTTGAGCTTGTGAATCTGTGGGTCTGAACTGGTCTTAGCTGCTTAAGTAAAAACATGGTTTTTATAGGGATGTTGTATAAATAGAACTTCCAGCCATCAGCAAGGCAAACTCCTGAAAGACCTTCAGAGGAAAACTTCACTTAAAAGTACTTGAAATGCATATTGCTTGCCTCCAGAAGTGATAATGGATAAACTTAGTTAGAGGGCAGCATTTGAATAAGTATCTATCACATATTTTTGGCAGTTTTATTTGGTTCAGCAGGTTATTCCTGGTGTTGATAATTCTTTTCTTGACTGAAGAAACATATGATACAGAAAACACAACACAAAAGATAGTGTCCCACTGGCTGAGGCAAACAATTAAGCTTTATTAATATTAAAATAGTTTTATTTGTTGTTGGAGAGCTATAATTGCATGTTGTGTTTGTTACTGTACATTTTAACTGTTGACACCTGAATATGCTAACACAATGAACTATTACAGATGAGGGGCATTCAGGTGGTCTTAAATTAAAAGAAAAAGTAGGGGTTGCCATGTTGTGGTTTAACTCCAGCTGGCAACTGAGCACAGCCACTCACTCACTCTGCACCAACAGGGTAGGGGCAGAGAACTGGAAGAGTGAAAGTGAAAAAACTCATGGGCTGAAATAAAAAATAGTTTAATAATTGAAAAAAGAAAATAATGTAACAAAGGGAAAGAAGTAGAACTCAAGAATGACAAGTAATGCAAACATGAAACAATTGCTCATCACCAACTGATGCCCAGGTCATTGAGCAGCAGATCCCACCAACCTCCCTCCTAGTCTTGCTGCTGAGCATGATGCCATATGGAAGGGAATGGAATATCCCTATGCTCTGGGCTCAGCTGTCCCAGCCATGTCCCCTCCCAGCTCCTTGTGCATCCCCAGTCCCCTCGTTGGCAGATGAGAAGCAGGAAGTGTGAGTGAGCAGTAACTGAAATATCCCTGTGTTATCAACACTGCTTTTTCCATAAATCTCAAACAATTCCAAAACACAGCCCCATTCCAGCCTCATACCAGATCTATGAAGAAAATTACCTATCCCAGCCAAACCCAGCACTTTTTGTAATAATCATTTGGGTGCTGAAATGGATGGTTGCTGATATTACTGGCTTGCCCTGCTTTAAAGCACTGTAATTTCCTGTGGATTAAATCAGATGGGACTTGTTCCTGGGTAGCAGTGAAGTATATTTTATAGTTCTAGCAGTAATGTTGAGACTCAGACTGAATAAAGTTGCAGTTATTTCTCAACATTACATACGTGGAAATGTTTTTGTAAAAATGCATTTAAAATCATAACATTAAAAAAAATTATCAGTGTGATTATTTGTGGTTAATAGAATGTGAAATAGCAAATAGATACAACAAATACAGAATAAACAAAAGTAAAAAAACAGTTTAAAAAAAGGTATATGTCTTATTCTGTCAGAAGAATTCAGAAAAAGTTTGTATGAAATCAGGTTAACTGGAGTGATTTTCCTCTGCAAGGCTCTCTCAGAGTAAATTTTTGAAATGGGTTGTTTTCAAATATCCTGCAGATCACTACCCATAATTTTTATCTCAGTGCTTTTATGGTGGCCAAAAAAAGTTATTTCTAACAAAATTAATTTTAAACCTTTTGTTTGAACACTTCACATATTTGAATCAATGCACTGGATTCTCACTCCTTTTCTCGATTTTTTTTGGTACTGAATTTCAGTGCCATCTGTGAAATTACTGAATTAATCTTTCCTCCAACTTGTTAGTTGCTTTTTATCTTTTTCTTGGTCTTCTAGAATTAATTCAATGGTAATTAGGCATAAAATAAAAGGCAAGAGCAAAGCTGAAGCAAACTATTTCTTCTTCTGTACTCTATTCTGCTTTATAACACCTTTTCTGAAGTTTGAAATGGTACATTATTTTCTTAAATGGAACTCACACTTACCTTATGTGCTAAACTAGGAGAAAAGAAACTTGCTGAAATGGTACATTATTTTCTTAAATGGAACTCACCTTATGTGCAAAACTAGGAGAAAAGAAACTTGTAGAAGTTCTTGTGCTGAGTTGGGTTGATGGTTGGACTCTGCAAGCTGTTTCAGATTAGCATAGGAGATATTAAATCAGGTATTGGGTCCTTTGGTTCTGAATATCAGGCTGACTCCTGTTTGCCACTTCTTCCCTGTCACACTATTTTCCTGGCTCATGAGGATAGAACAAATCAGAATATTTCTTGAACCAGGCCAAACAAACTACACTACAATAAATTAGGACTGATCTAAGAATAAGTCTTGAATTTCTTCTCTTCCCTTTTACTCACTGCTGCTAATTGTGAATAGATCATGAGATGTAGAAATGCTTTTAGAGAAACAATATGAAATAATAATAGTACACACACTCACTCCCAGTTGTAATCTTTGTCATTAGTTGTGTGATTTTGTGGAATTCACTAGTCTGTGGAGAGTGGTGAAAGTGACTGCAGAGATGGGCTGCTGGTATAGAGGATGTTTAATATAAAGTACTTTGAAATGTATTTTGGGAACAGCAAACAGCTTGTATAGCATTATATTTTATTATATTTTAAGAGTGCAGCTGTTATGAGACCTGAGCTGTTGTGAGTAATCTCAGAAAAGTACTAATGTGTTTTGGGTCTACTACGATTGAAAGCACTGAGGTGGAAAGAAAAATGATTATTACTTTCTATCATATGGTCAAATTCCTTCTAGTTGTGTAGGAGCAAACAAATTTTTCACGTGCTAAACAAACAGCTTGTTGCTTTCATTTGGGAAGGATGTTTTCTATTGTGTGGTAAACACAGCTTAAAATATCAGAGTAATTCAGAAGCTCACATGTCAAAGGAGATTTCTTTGGAAACATACACTGACAAAAGAAATATGTACAATATTCAAATAAATTCAGCTTATATTGCTTTTTTTTTTCTTTTGTAATGGGAATTAAAACTAAAGGATGAGAGGAAAACTATCCAAATACCAGTATTTTTCTCTGCTTTTCACTCAAGTACTCATACAGAGAAGGTGGTTTTTTTCAGTTGTCATTTAATTGCTGGTTGTATGGTTAATTTTTTTTTTTTATTGCTTGTGTCTAATAAAAATCCAGACTTGGCTTTTGCTTTGTATTGATACAGAATAGTAAATAATGATAATTAATGGTGTTAAACTTTCAGGTGACTATGGCTTGAGTTTGCCTCTTGGAGAAGAATATGAACGAAAAAAACATAAACTCAAAGAGGAACTTCGGCAAGATTACAGGCGATATCTTTCTCAGGTAAACTGTCTTGTCTGGTTGCTTGGCTTTAGTGAGTCTCTTAAAATTATTCTCTCATTTAATTTAATGAAAATTAATATATGTAGAAAAAATTTTGAGGAGGCATTCATTATGAGTAATGGCTGATTTTGAAAACTTGAGTGAAAGTAATTTCAAAATGTTTTGTTTATGTACTTTAGGCTTCTACAGATCTTGTTGCCACATGACTACATTTTATTTAGTACACTTCCTTCTATTTTATTTATTTGTTTTTGCTTCTTCCTTGTTTTTTTTTTTTTCTTAAGAATGTAAAAGCTGTTACTTCCTGAAGTACATATGTATTCTATAGTCTCTAATTGGGGTAAGAATATCCCTGCTGTGTTTAGTGTGACTCCATTTAGCAGTTTCTTTTCAGTTTTAGAAAGAAAAACCTTTGCTGTTCTGCTTAACATGATTTACTACATGCCACAGTAAATTTAAAATTGAAATGGTATGTATGAAATGTCATCATCTTGGGAATATTCTGTAGCTGCTCTGCATGAATCAGAAAAAATACAGAGCCAAATAATTTCTGTTTTATAAAAATACTATTTACCAGTGTCTTTAGTTCTTAAAATGAATGAATGGATTTGCTTTAAGAAAGGAAGTATCTTATATTAAGTCAAATATTTTTGACTCAAAACTCCTTTTGAATAGTATCTTTTCCCTGATTTTTAGGGAATTTCACAGGCAAAAAGAAAGGTAGGGTGCCTTTAATATTATTTTCTTTTCTTTAAAATTAGTTGCTTTTTGCTTTGTTTGAAAACTTTATGCTCTTGGAATTTAAAAAAATCATTACTTTTATTTGTGCTTTGTGCATTTATGCATGCTGTGGTGATTAGCTGTGACTAACAGCATTGCTTGCTTTGTGCAAAATGATTACTTACATATATTATTTTCCATTCATAAGTTTTTAAAACACTTGTTGATTTCCTTTTCCCTACGCAGTTGCTAATGTTGCTGTCTAATGCTGGCTCTACAATAGCTTTTCTTTTAGTAGACATTTGCTTCAAGGATTGTCAGTTATGTAGATAGTAAGAGTTTGGGGTTTTTTTCTTGGTATACATATTTTATAAAGCTAGAATAAAACAGTAACTTCTATAAATATTAAATATATCAGTGTAATCAGAGTCAGATTTTTTCTTCCCTGTCTCTACTCTAGTCAGTGGTGCTTAGGGAAGCAGTAGAGTCACTAACTTAGCACCTACTGGCCAGAATGCAGGAATGCAAACAAGCATTATGAGGAAAAGGTAACACCTCTAGTGTTATTTTCACAGGCTTTGTTTAATTAATTTTAATTTTTAAAATATTTTTATGCTTTTATGCATCTATAATTTTGAAATTTAATGCTGTCCATCCAAATTGTTCAGATTGAGCAACATCAGTAAAGGACCAGGAGGTAATGTGGTAGAAACACAGTCTGCTGTTTTTTTCTGAGGTTTTGAATAACATGCATATGATATAAATTTTCTGTATTAGCATGCGCTGGAATTCTTAAATAGCAATAGCAACTGTCTTCTTAACCTCTAACCAAATCATCCTTAAATAATTTTTCTTTAATTTTTAATTTAAAACTCCAGATTATTTTCAAAATTTGACTATCGTGTAATTAGAACTTAATGTTTCATAATTATCACCAAAGCACCCAAGCAATATAATTTTTACATTAACTTCTAGTGTCTTATGCTCAACTGGCCTTCAAGGTTTACAAGGCCTTTTTGTTTGTGTGTTTAGTCTAGTACATGTTAGCTGTATCAAGCTGGTAAGGACTGAGGTAGAACTAAGATGGCAATCTCTAATTTCTTTTTCCCACCTAAAGAAAGCTGGTGAAACTTTTAGCAGTTTTCACAGTGATAATTTTTTCTTTTTGTTAATAACTTGCTTAGTCTTGCTTATGTAGAAAAATGTAGCTTCCATATCAGGTTCTGATTTTGGAAAGGACGTTCATACGATCAGAGGTAACCTCTAGAGATGTCTTCAAAATGCATGCAAAGAATTACTTAATCATGAGGATTATAATTTATTTTCTATTTTATCTAACAGAAATAACTTGGTTTTCCATATACATCTAGTTGTCTTGGTGCTTGAATGTCATTGCATGATTATTAAATTCCTTAAATCTTTTAATGTCTAGTTTGAAATATCATTTATAATGATGTGGGTTTGTACTGGAGCAGGTAGAGCTCTTACTTCTTGACATTCCTCTAACCTTTCAGACCACATTGCAGCATAGATAAGGAAAGGAAACAATGCTAGTGAAATACTGTATCTCACCATTCCCCTCTTCAGCTCCTGACACACAAATAGATGATCTTTTTATTAATCAGATTTATAAAACATGTGATTGACTGGAACTGGCTTGTCTACGCTTTTAATAAAGGAGGGATGGATGACAAATCCTCTAGACCTGGAATCTAAAGACCTGCATCAGCACTGGTATTTGGTTTGAAGAGCTGGTACTGTGATGTGCTGCACAGCCCAGGTCCCAAGCTGTGGCCCAGGGATCTATGTGGAGCAACAACATTCTGGTTTTGATGGGAAGTTCTCTGAAAGTGGCTGATGGTCCATAAAGAATGACAAGATTTGGTGGTGGGTTATTATCCTGGGGAATAAGTTGGGCATTGCTGGTGTGGAAAGCACTGTTGAGATTGAGGTGTACTAGCATGAATTCCATCTGTCAAAATAAGAGGTAGACATATATTTTCTGCTGTTAGAAAAGGCAATTTTTAATCTTGAGTAAGCAAGTGTCTTGGAAGATCACTTTTATTTCATTTACTTGCTGCATTCCTTAACTTCATTTATGTGTTCCAAGAACATCCTACATTTTCAGAATGTGAAGGTTGTCTTCAGTCTTTATTTCATCAAATTGCTCAAATTACTTCAGAAATATAATACCTAACAGCTCTTTAATGAGTAAGATTTGGTCTTTTAAAGTGTATTGAATGGTTTTGAATTTTTTTTTTTTAATGTAGAAAAATTATCTGACTACTGATGAAGTAGATCCATATACTCAGGGATTATCTCTTCCTATTGATGAGCGAAGATCTGCCAAGGTAAATATAAAAAGGAAATTAAGTAAATGGATATAATGGAAAATGTACCTGGGTGTTGAAACTATTACAGAAAAAATATTTCCTCTTAAGTTTTTTTGTTTGGTTGGGTTTTTTCTTTTTTTTTTCTTACACAAATGAATGTTTTTGGAGGTGGTAATTAGTAATAATTCTCAGAAAAGTCTGTTCCTTCAATTTTTTAAAAAAATGAATCCTAGGTTACCTGTTTAGATAAGTTTTGGATATTTGGTTTTTATTACGCAGTTATAATTGTATACTAGTTTGAGGTTTGCTGCCTCTGATCCACACTGTTAGAGCACTTGATCTGTTGAAAACCTCTAGTGGTTGTTCCTTGGTTTTGTTCAGCAGTCACTATTCATCTGATCTCCTGCCCTCATGCTGTTGGCTTTATTGTCCCAGTTTTTTATATTTGCTTGTAATCATGAAGTTGAATCAGCAGAAACATTGTAATTTATCAATATTTTTTCTGACAAATACTGCTGTTTGGTTGTTAAGATTGCTCATAGCACAGCAGATTCAAGGCAATAAGATAACCTGTGTTGCTAGAGAAGGACCAGGCATTTGCACACTTGGAGGTTTTGTTGGTTTTTGGTTTATTTTTTTAACCTTTGTTGCCTTCAAGTTGCACTGTTGATCTGTGTTTGGGGCTATGCTGTCACTGCCATCTGGTGCAAGACTTCTGCTATGGCACGGGTTGGCCTTGCCCTTGTACTTAAACTTTCTGCCCCTCTTGTGCTCTTGGTTTGGATGTAGGATGAGCCAGGTGAGAACTCAAAGTGAGAATTGCTTTTATGAAAAAGCCCTAAACTGCAAGTTATACATGTGTAAAATGGAGGCAGCAAGAATGAAACGCCCAGGAAGGGGGAAAGGACTCCTGAGGGCAGCATGCATGTGTACTGAGTTTATGTTAACTTCAGGTTCTCATGAACTTTTTATTAGCCCTTGCAAGTATGTGCACTGAAACAGTGAAAAATAAAGTATTTTAATTAATGCTGTGGAAATTAAGTATGTATTTGTGCTGGAAACATGCCTTATCATTGATGGGTTTATATCATATCAGCTCTGTGCAGGTGTGTTGTATCCTTTTTAGCCATCTATTTGTTGCTCTTGCAGAACCTAAAAGCTGCCAGGAGATGTCACACTGTGCCCTGTTAATCATTTGGCTTCTGGGCAGAATATTGAGAGGTTACCATTTGCATTTTGGTTTGCTTTATTAGGTCAAATGTGCAGTCACACAGCATATTGAATTTTCTGCTGAGTGTTTTGCCATCTGTTAAAGACAGTGCAGCTTTCATGGCTGTCTGCATGCTTTATATTGTCACTGTTAGAAAACCTATAGACAACTTTTTTTTTTTCTTGGAAAAAAACCCCAAAAAATGAAACAGTTTTGGAGAGGATTAGTCTAATCTGCAAAACTTTTAGTTATCTGGTATTTATGTGGTGATTGAGATATAAATTATTTTTGTTTGAAATTTGTTCATGAGAAAGTAAATTTATGTGTGATGGTCAGATTTTGTAAATACTTTTGGTTTTTTTATTGGTGAATGCTGCAGTGGAAAAGAGCCTCATTCATAGTACTGTATGTGATTGTTGGAATGTGATTGTTGGAATGAGGTAGTATAAGAGATACCCCGTGCTCTAAATGGGGACTAATATCAAGAAATAATACAAATTAGAGTTTGCTTTATCTGAAGACTTTTGTATTTCATATTATATTATTAGACTGTTGATGTACAATTCATGTATATTTTTAGACCTGAGAAAGCTAATTATAAATGTTATCATGTTGCAAAAGTAGCTAGGACAACAAGCATAGATGCTGTTTTTCTTGATTTTCCTTACATTCTTCACACTTTTGAGTTTTTGCAGCCTGTTTAACTGCTTGTTTGAATTCGACAGTTAAAATTGTAATTGATACATCTTGTCTACACTTGTGTTTGTTATCCTGTTTTAATTGTGAGGGGGGAAAGTCACAACTAATGTTAAAGTAAGAAATTTTATGTTTGAAAATCAGCTGTAAATTCATCCATATTGGAAATTCCTAATTGTTGGAAAATCAGCTGTAAATACATCCATATTGAAAATTCCTAATTGTCAGGGTGAGGCTTTGGTAAATTTTGGAATAGGCTTAGCAGGAGGTTTTAATTGTGAGGGGGGAAAGTCACAACTAATGTTAAAGTAAGAAATTTTGTGTTTGAAAATCAGCTGTAAATACATCCATATTGGAAATTCCTAATTGTCAGAGTGAGGCTTTGGTTAATTTTGGAATAGGCTTAGCAGGAGAAACCTACCTGGTTTTAAAGATGGATCTTGGTACTCAGTAGTGTCTCTGAGGATTAGACTTTGTGCCCAAGAAGCTGACTTCTACTTACAGATTTCAGATTAAGAGAAAGTGCTATGCTAAGAGAAAATTAACTAAAACCTCAAAATAATTCAAGTCTTTCTTGTACATCACAAAGAATGTGAAGTGGGGGGGGGGCAAACACACAGTTTGCATTTATTGATTTAGTACTGCAGTCCTATGAAGTTAAAAGCTACTAAAAATGCAAAATTATGATGCCCTTTTCAATGCCTATTTTAGGAAAGATTACGACTTGAAAGAAACAAGGAGTACAATCAATATCTCAGGGATAAAGAAGAATGGAATGAAAGGCTAAGGAAATTAGGGAAGAAAAACAGAGAGGTAATGCAATTTTGTAGTCTTATTATTGACTCAAATGTACAAAGTAAGACAAAATACACAAATAATGTTGTTCAGTTAGGCTGCATTTTTATTAGTGCATCTAAAAGCAAGTCCTGGTTACATCTCACATGGTGCAGTTCTTGATTCCTGTTTCCATCATGTCTGTTGGATAGAAGGATGCTTTCATTGTTCTGTGTGTCTGAAGCAAATCCCTGGGTTGCTCTGGATCATAAAAGTGATATCCAAAAAAGCTATCTATTTGAACTAAATATTGAACTCCACGTAGTGTTCCTTAGCTGTTGTTTGTAGATGCTTTTTTCCTCTGTCATGTAGAAGGCCAGGCAAGTGTAGCAGCCATACAGAATACGGAGCTGTACAATTGTGAATAAAAATCAAGAAGCCTTTACTGCTGAAAGTGAACTAGACATAGTCTAGTCTAGTTCTGAGCTGTGGCCTTTGATTTGTATGGCAGTAAGCAGCTAGGAACACACACACACACACACCCCTCTGTTGGAAGGGGGAGAAAATTGCAGCCATACAGAATACGGAGCTGTACAATTGTGAATAAAAATCAAGAAGCTGAAAATCACTGCTGAAAGTGAGCTAGACATAGTCTGTCTAGTCCAGTTCTGAGCTGAGGCAGTAAGCAGCTAGGAGCACACACACACACAAACACCCCCTTCTGTTGGAAGGGGAAGAGAATCAGAAGAGTGAAAGTGAGAAATAGTGCAGGTTGAGTTAAAGACAGTTTAATATGTAAATTAAAAGCTGCTCATGCAAAGCAAAGCAAACCTGCAGGTTGAGTTAAAGACAGTTTAATATGTAAATTAAAAGCTGCTCACGCAAAGCAAACTAAGGAATTAATTCACTTCCCCTAGGCAGGCAGGTGTTCAGCTACCCTCAGGAGAGCTGGGCTCTCTCACATTTAACTGTGACTTGGCAAGACAAATGCCTTACTCAGAATGTCCCCCTTCCTTTAGGTTGAGCATGACCCCCTGTGGAGTGGAATATCCCTTTGGTCAGTTGGGATCATCTATCCTGGTTGTGTCCCTTCCCAATGTCCCATGTACCTGCAGCCTCCTTGCAGGTGGGGCAGTGTAAGAAGCAGAAAAGCCCTTGACACTGTTAGTGCTATTCAGTACGAATTAAATTATCTCCATCTTATCAACACTGTTTTCAGCACAAATCTAAAACTTAGCCTCATACAAGCTACTATGAAGAAATTTGTCCCAGCCAAAACTAGTGCAACAGCAAGTGGAATTTTTAGATCTGATTAGCATTGTTGTGAGACTCTTTGTTTTGGTAATCTGGAAGCAATATATTGATCTGTAAAATCTTCTTAACTTTAAAAATTTTGTCTAGAATAAGTAAATTTTCTTATAAAAATATTTTTGCCTCAGTTTAGTGATGGACTGTAATAATTTGGGGCTCTCATCTATTGAAAGTTTTTAGAAGATTTAGAAGAAAAGTTTAAGAAGTCCTTCCACTTCTTTTTAATATGAAAATTCTAAAGTGTACAGTAGTGTGAAAGCTAGGTCATTCTATAAAAGACCTTATATTTGTACCCAAAACAGCTGGAAGTTTATTGTCTTCCTTACAACAGTTGTCAAGTGCAAATCCCCCTACATTTGTAATTTCTGTCTAGAAGAATGTTTCTTTTCTATCTGTAGAGAGATTGTTTTCTCATGTGAAACATCTTTTGAAGTGCTACACAGCAGTGATCCCTAGGAAACACTGGCAAAAATGTAGATTATTTTTGTTCTACTGAGTCTAAAAATCTCAAAAATTTTTCTACATGTTTCGACACTTATATTTCCTAAGCTGACTTACCTAATGAAATCTATTTAGCGACTCAAGGGTTTTTTCTTTCGCTTTATTTGTCATCCACTTGGACCTTTAAGTTGCATTCAGGTGTAGAAACAATTTTACTATCAGAAAAGAACAAACAGAAAAAAAAAAGTCAGGATTTGTTTGGGTTATGCCACCTCTGAGGGTTATTTAACTTGGAGTGAGAGTCAAATTATATATGTGATGTCCAAAATTTGATCCAACAGTTTAGATAGTCATAGGATAAATCCTGCTCTGAGTAGCATTACCTTCACAGTTTATATTAGGTTGGTCAGACTTTATTTTGTGGAGTTTTGAAAGGATGGAGAATCCACAGTCCTCTGGGCAACCCATTCCACTGCTTTAACTGCTTGATCTGAACTTCTGTCCCTCTGTATCCCATTGGAATTTTCCTTTGCTGCAACTGTGCTGTTGTTTCTTTGAAAACCATGACTACTGGTGTTTCTGTAACCACCTTTTACACAGGGACTGCAATTACTAGTTCCTCCACAACCTCCTTAATCTTTTTCCAGGCTGAATAAACCCAGCTCTGTCAGCTTCTCCTTTAATAGCTCAAATCCTCAACCATCTCAGTAGGCACCCTCTGCACTTTCTCCAGGTCATCAGTATCTGTGGGGAGGGGAGGCAGAGACTGGGCACACTACACCAGAACCTAAATACTAGATCAATATTGAGCAGAGAAGGATCACTTGCCTCGACCTGCACAGATACTGGTGCCCAGGGTGTGGATAGCAGTCATCACTTCAGGCATGCTCTGCTGCCTCATGTTCAGCTCCTTGCCCACAACTAACCCAGGCCTTTTTCTGCAGAGCTGCTCTCTAGGTGCTCAGTGCCCAGCCTGTCCTGGTGCATGGCACTGTTCTGTCTCAGATGCAGAGATTTTCCTTGGCATTTGTTGATTTTTATGAGCTTTTTGTCAGCATGTTTCTCCAGTTCTCTCTTCTTCTCAAGACCCTTCTGTGTGGCAGCTATACCCTCTAGTATATTGATCCTTCTTCCCAGTTTGGTGTCATTTACATCCTTAATTTATTTTTCATTAAATATTGTAAAGTATGAGTTACTGTTGTCTTTATTCCATACCGGAAAGGTTAGATCAAAGATTAGTACACAGAAATACTACAGGGTTTATGCAAAACCATTGTTTTTGTAAGGACTGTGTATTGAACACTAGTCCAGAGTGTCATAGGGTTGCTTTTGTCTGCTTAACTATCCTTTCTCATAATGACATTTCCTGAGGAGAGAGAAGTAGGTTAAGAAATGCTCGGGTTAAAAGGTTGTGCTCATAGGTAAGAAGTATTACAGACTTGCATGAATCTTGATAGAATGAAGATATCTAGTCTCTTGATGAAGCAAAGTTTGAAGTGTTTTTTTTGATTCCTTGCACCTCAAAAACTGAAGGTCAGATTGGAGTTCATAAAAGATCTGTCCAGTATTGATAGCCATTCTCCTGAAAGACATTAGATAAAAGGAAGACTACATTTTTTTCCCCCAAGAAAAATGAATAAAACCTTAGATTTTAAGCACTTATTGGAGTACTTTCCTTGCTCACCTCTTGTTTTTCTTCTTGTTTTGGGTTTATTTGAAGAAATACAAAACTAAGGTTTTACTCAATGTGATTTGTTTATACTCAACTCTCAATATTGTTTCCATTAAACAGCATGAGATGCACAGGAATAAAACACCTATTGCTGTTACCAGGCTCCAGCCAGAATTACATACAGAAGTCCAGCCCTGTAATACAGGTGCAGAACCTCCCAAGAAGGATGCTTTTACTTCCACAGAAGGTTGTGAAGAGCTGATAAATAAGAGATGGCTGGAGGAAGACAGGCACCACAGGTTAGATGATGAGGTTGAATTGAGAAGTCAACTATTAAATAAAAGATTTGATGAGGATTTGGATGTTCCCAATCAAAGACATGGATTTGCTAGCCAATCTGTAATTCCTACTAGGAAGCATCACAGAATTGATGAAGATGGTGATTTTGGTAGAAGATACTACAGAGTGGACTATGATCCTGAGACAAATGCAGAAATGGACCCTAGATTTAGATCTGAAAGCACCTATGACAGAAAAACTCCCCGGGGTTTTTATGCTGAAAGGTATTCTTAATTCCATTTTCTCCTTTATTTCTGTAGTGCTTGTTGATGGTCATTGTTTACTGTCTTTAAATATTGGGGAAGATTCCCAAGTGACAGCAGGATTGTTGTACCTACTTTTGTACTTACAAAAAGGACCTTTGCAATAACCTATAGAAAAAGTGTTGAAGAATTGGATCAGTCCCTAAGACTATACAATATATTAAGAGGCATTTTAAATATCATAGCAAACCAAGGATACTAGAGAAATTACCCCAGAAGCAGCAGTCCACAATTCATTTTTATGAAGAGTGGTTTGCCAGAAAACATATTTGAAAGCAAGCCCCTGCACTGAGAACCCAATGTTACCTTTCTTTCCTTAGTCTGTAATAGTTACAGCAAGTCAGTTTTCAGTTCACATTCCAAAACTAGTTTGAGCTTCAATTTTTGCTATATGTGACTATGCATAAAAAATGTAAAAGTCTATTTTTTAAAAATCCTATTTTTTACTCCATGTCTTGCTAAATGACAGGCTTTAAACATCTGTGTAGTTGAACCAAATTCTGATGGTTTCAATAGGTGCTAATCTTTGTAATAACTACACAGTTTGAATAAACATTTACAAAAGCCCAAACCAAACAAAAGAGGGTGTCTTATATAAATCATTCAGGGGGAAAACTGATATTATGTACTGTTCAGTATTAAATAGTCTTTACTGTGTTAACTGATACATCAGTTGGGTTACTTTGACATAAATTGTTAATCTTTCTCTTCTAGCTTGCTCATTTAAAAGAAAAAAAGTATAACCTTCCTAGTCATTCAGGGTTTGGCATTCTGGCCTCCTTTACATATTCCATTGTAAGAACTGGTTGCTTTCAAAACCAGATGGCTTGTGGTCTGAAACAGCACCAAACTAAAAATGTGTTTATACAGCTAAACAAAGCAGTGAATTATTTTGTAAATAAATTTTCAAATGATATTTAAAAAGTGTTAATTTGTTCCCTTTCCAGGTCTTGGGAACATGAGTGTTGTTATTTTTATTTGTGTTAAGCCTGTTGCCAGAATTATTTTCCTACTATTGCTTCAATGTAGAAACCACCAGTGTTCTTCCTTTGCAAGGCAAAAGAAACACTTTTTCTTTTTGCTAGAATTAACACTTCTAGGAAAACAAAGGCAAATTGTACCACTTTGAACAGTGTTGAATATTACTATTATGTTTTGTTGTTAGTGGCTGGTGGATGGGTTAAATGATCTTTTGAGTCGTTGTTTACAGGGATAATTTTCTGGATAGTATGCAAATTAATAACTGGGGGGAGGGGAAATGCTCCTCTACTAGAAAAGTATTTTCTGATTTCAATGAACTCATATTACTTTTCCAGTTTCAAGCGCCAAGAGAGTTAGAACAATTTTTCTCCAAAAAAAGCTCTTGATACTCTTTCTCAGCCTTTAAAAAAAGTAATCATAAAGGAAGTAAGTCTGTGGAAAAAATGAAATGTCTGGAAGTATTTGGGAGAGGCAGACTCTAATAAAAGTGTTATTGCTAAGTTTCAGACTGTTTGTTCTGGTGTGCTTCTAAAAAAAGTGAATTTATTCATACAGTGTTTCTGAAAAAGAGTAGCAAATGGAAACAGTGGTTAAATAGATGAGATGAACAAGATTGCCTGTTTTCTGCTGAGATTCAGAGAAAAGACAGCAAAATTCAAAATTTGTTCCATTCTGTAGTATTACTGGTAGAAATGAGCAGATGAGGTTTTACGATAGAGTGGATTGTCCTATTGCTTTTCAGAAAGAAAAATAATTAGAAGCTTAACTCGATATGTAACAAAGACAATAAAAATATTTTTGAAACTAATGACAGTATTTAATTCTCTGTGTTACTTAATACTCAGAAGGATATGTCCTCTTTTTATTAGGTAGCTGTTTGCCACTGTCTAATGCAGTTGGACACAGAGTGTATTATTTAAATAAAAGTGACCATTTGATAATGTTTGAGGGTTTACTTTGTTTCAGAAAGAATTTATACAGAACTATATAAATAAAGTATCAGCAAGTATAGTGTTTGAACTAACAGTAGACATGTTGAATATTAGTAAACTAGTTTTTAGTTATTCTAGAAAACTTGGATGGTGCTTATAAGTATCTGTGACTAATATATCACCAGGCAATCCATGAATTATTTGGAGAGACATCTGAAACTGCTTTATCTCCAGTTTTCTTTTAAAAGAGAATAGAGAAGCTAGTCATCTTTGCTGTTGGCAGACTTGGTGCATCTTCTTAAAAGAAGCTGCTGGACCATTACCTGAATTCCCTGAACAAGATTGTTTGGGGTTATTTGTGTATGTTTTCTACTAAAATTAATTTTCAGTGTTTCTTTATTAAATGTGGTTTTTAATCTAGTACTTTATTCTCCTTTGAAAGGAGCTCCACTTAACCGCCTATGAAATAAATTCAGTCTCTCCAAGGAGGAACTTATCTCTTAGTGACAGCTCAGCTTCTGAAGAGTTAGCATTTTTTTTCTTCATTTCAGGCAAAGTCAACTTTTCCCAAACACACTTGATTCATGGTGGATACTGAATTCAAAAGGAGGCATATTTTTATTTGCTCTACTGAAGTTCTCAGCTTTTTATATTTTTATTAGTTTGGAGAGGCAGATGTTCATAACAGGGCTTTTCAGAAGGGTTTCTGTTTTGATGGAGGCACAAGGTCTGTGGCATTTTTCAACAAACAGAAATGGTGACCGGGAAGTGAGAAGAATTGCAAAATGTTTTCGTTCTTAGGAGTGTAATGCTTTAGTCCATCCCAGCTGTCAGTTCTGTCCTGTAAACAGGAGACAGCAGCTTCTTGATTGAATTGGGCCAACATGTCTGGGCCTGCTGTGCTAAGCTGGCTACTTTTTATGAAAAAGGGTGCCTCTTAAATTCCAAGGTTGTTTTTTTTTTTTTTTTCCTTCCTACATCCTTCCATTACACTGGAGACTTGGCTTTCTATTTCCTGGCTGTGTTTCAGTCTTATGTGACCACCCTTGTAAGGAGCAGAATGATTGTTGTCATAAAGATGAACTTGATCATGAAAGATCATTTTATGCCAAAAGGGGAGATATCCTTTCATGTTCTGATGGGTTGTTAAGATGCCAGATCAATTTTTAATAATCTGCTTGCATCCTTTTGCCTTTCCTTATTGGCTTCTATTTAAATTAGAGATTGACAGAGCTGTGGTTCTTTTTATGTAAAGAATGAGGTTTTTCCCTATGTTTACCTAGTTTTGTGGGGGTTTTTTTGTTTGTTTTTGGTTTTTTTTTTTTTTTTTTTTGTTTGCATACTAGGAAGTCCATGGCTCTGTCCAGCTCTGGAAAAAGTATAACTTTGATAGCATTTTTTGAGTACTTTGTTTTTCATTGACTAACTATTTTTGTCCTATTTTGTCATGATTACTTGAAGTTCTCATTATAGAGCTGTTATTTTACAAGTCAAGAAAAATTTATAAATTCTACTACCCCAGATCTTTTCAGGAACAGCTCTCTTGTGTCTATACAATATTTGGCATCTCTGAAGTTACTTAAAGTTTAAATCAGATGATTTTACTTATGTAGATGACTCAAATTTTAGTTCCTGAATTTTTGTAGTCACAATGTTGCCAGTCTTTTGCCTTGAACAAAAGTCATCTCCCCCTTTTAAAGTCTATCAGGTGTGCAGTGAAGTGTAGACTGTCATTGAAGAAGCTTTTCATATCTGAATTGGCTGTTTCACCAGACTTACCCAAGAGCTGTGTGCCAAAACCTGTTGAAGACTTTGCTGGCTCCTGGGGATTAAGAGCAGCAAGATCTGTTTCAATTAATGCGGTGTGAGTGTCAAAAGCCCTTTAGCTCTCAAAACTCTTAACCAGGCTCATTAGATAAAGGCTGCAGGAAAGCAGGCTTGGGAATTCACATTCCAGACAGAGGGCTGCCCTGACAGTGCTAGCAAAGTGAATTATTTCTAGAATATTTTGTGGTCTTTTCAGGACTGGTTCTGCTGTCCAGTGTGCGTTCAGGCAGTAAATGCATTTGCACAAAACTGCTGAACTTTCCATTTCAGATTGGCTGTTTCTAGGCAAGCATAGCTGAGTATTTTTTATTTCTTTAAGGCCCTATCTGGACGGAATGGTAAGAGATGTACCTGCAGATTATGAAGATGAATTAAAGGAGAGAGCACGTGTGCGGCCGTTCTCAAGAACTGGAGATTCTAGGTGTGGTATATCATGTACTTTTCTGATAATTGCACTGCAAAATCATAGTGAGACAAAAACGTTGACTTCAAATGCCAAAATGTTGTCTGAAACGCCTGATAGTTTTTCCTGCAGCTAGAATATAGTATAACAAGACATGTTTCCTCTGAAAATGGCCGTTGAAGCTTGCATGCCAGTTTTCATTTTGAATTAATAGAGCACCTATTCTCCAACTGATGACTTTTATTGAGTCAAATACTGTGGAATCCTGTTTTCATAGTAATTTTAAAATTCCTTTTCTTCCTCTTGTCTTGGTTTTGCACAGCCTGAAATGATGTAAGTGGGTGAGGCAGAAGCAGAACACTTGTAAAGTCCTTACATAAACTCTTGACTGGCACCATTCAGTCTGTCAGCATGGGTGAATTGCTCATCTGAGTCAGTTTTTCTGATGGCTTGAGAAACCACAGGCAAATGGGAATTGCGAGAAATGCTTTTTTGCCAGGCAGTTTCTTCTTTTGCTTGGGATATTTCTTTGGATTGTAGGAAAAATGTTTGTCACAAATGTGTCACATAGTGATGCAAGTGAGTCTGTCAAGATTCTCACAGGCTGTGTAGGAAATTCTTGAGTTTGATCACTCCATTTTCTTTTTTGTCTTTGCCAGAAATCAGATACAGATGAGTTCTTCAGCTAGTGAACAGGCCAAGTCTGCAGGTGAAAGGCGGTATGCAACAGGCCTTGTTCTTGGTATGTATAAAAACCTCACTAATGACACCGAGTTAGACATTCTTTGCATAAGTGTCTTGGTTTGAAAAGACAGGTGTCTGATAAGGAAGGCAGGAGCCTCCCCTAAAATGGAAAATGAAAACCCCCTCCTTCTGAATTGTTATGAATTTGAAATTAAGTAGCTTCCAGGCAAAGATAAGGGAGCAGGAATAACAGTTCTTTATTAGGGAAGAAAATAAAAATAAAATAACCCATGCAGTAATACAAAACAACACTGACAGAGTCAGAATACAACCTGACACCCTGTTGGTAGCAGTCCAATTGGAATTGTGGCTGCAGTCCTCCTGGAGTGGTAGGTGGGGTTATGTTGAAGCAGTGATCTTGTAGAAGGGTGTAGTCTTCCTCTGAAGATCCAGTGGTGGGTCTTCTTCTGGGAATCCAGTGGAAAGGCTGTCCTGGTGTCCCAAAATCTCAGATGATGTCCAGTTAGGAATGCTTGGCTCCTCCCTCTGGGCGGTGCGGCTCATAGTGGGATGCTGTAATTTTTATCAGCCATGCAGTGACACTCAGTGGCCCATTAACAGAAGATATTTCCTGGAGGGAGGATTGGTTTGTGGAAGAGATAAAGAAAACTGCCCAATTAACAGAAGATAACTGCCCCACCTCTGACAGATAGCAAATAAAATACACACATTACCTTGGCAATCTAGGACAATATGTTATTTCTCCATCTGAGTAGTTAAAAATTAGAAAAATGAGCATTTGTTTTTCCTTTTGGTAGTTGGCTCCAAGACTGGTAAATAAGTGTTAGTTACAAAGAGAAACTAAAGCAAAACATATTACTTTTCCCCCCTTTATGTAACTTACTAATTAATTTTGAAGCACCCAGGTTTCTTCTTAGATTTCATTAACATTTGAAGGCCCAGATAAGTGATTAAATTATTTTTCCAAAATGAAGTATGGGAGAAATCTTAAACCTCTGCATTGTTGAAGAACAGCTTTACAGTGAATTTTAATTGCAGAAATATGAAAAACGGTACTGTGAAAAATGATTCTGGTTATCTCTCCTGTAGCCAGAAAATTTAACAGGAAACTCTAGTATTGAGTGTAATAGAGAGAAATACTGGTGAAGACAGAGCATTCTTAGCTGAATTCAGGAAACTGTAAGAGAAGAATGAAAGAACTCTGGTAGTTCTTCGGATGGGAGCTTTTGAAGGCGTGCTAGCTTTGAATTATGGCAAAATAGATTAACAGTTGTCAGAATAATTTCTGTTATTTTTTTCATTTGCATTTACCTGATCTTCAAAGCTATATGTAGCAGGTCAGTTTTTTTGGAACTGTTTAAATGCAGCATTAAACCAGTGGTGTCATAGAGGTCACTCTGGTCTGCCCAGTCATCTCAGTTGAAATAACTTCAGGATGCAGAGGTGTGAATTTGTACTTCTAGCAGTCCTGGTTAGAAGAGCATTGTAAACTATGTTGTGTAAAGATTAAGTAAATTAAAACTGGAATTTTTTGAAAATAAGAAGTGATTTCAGACTCCTCCAAACTCACAAGCCGTGAGGTTATCTTGCACATTCTGGTCACTTTGTAGTCCCAGCACAAAGTTAACAAACAGTTATTTAACAAACAGTTAAATAAAAAGAAATCAGTCAGTCATGCATCAAGTTTTGTTGCTGTTGCTTATTTGGCTTTTGTTTTAGTTTCTTTCCAGCTTCCTTCTCTTTATTATTCAGGTCTATTTCAACAGAAGACCAGTCAGTTTGTGTAGAGAGTATGTTAAGAGTCTTTGTGTTTGATAGGCATACAATACAGAAGGTGCTGCTGATGTTTTTTGGGGTTTGTTTTTAAAATAATAGAAAGATTTTGCACTTATTGTGGGGGAACCACCACAAACGAAAAGTTTTTTGTGTTCCTTAAAATCTATGTGAGCTGTTATCACCATTTCCTTTTACATACACACATCTGTCGATGCTTTGCTAATTCTTAGTAGTCATGGGAACCATCCTAAAAGAAGTGGAGCAGTTTACTTTCCTCCCCAGGGGTTTGACTCTCTTCAGTTTTAATATTCAGTTTTATGCAGAGCAGTGCCTCATAATTTTGGAGTGCTGTAGTGTATCTTCCTTAGGTGAACATTAGATTAAAAAAAAAAAAGTTACTTTTTGTAATTGCTTAATTGCTTCCTTTTCCTATAAATTAGGAAAATTTATATTTTCCTACCAAAACCAGGAAAATAATAATGAAAATGTTAGTAGTTTTGATCATCATATTCCAAAAAATGGTCTATTAAAACTAGATATCTTTTTTGTTTTAGTCAGTAGAGATACAGTGTTTGTATAGTCTGCTGTGTTTCAGTTTCGAAATTGACTGAAATGCAATGTTTTAGTCCAGTACCTTTTGTGTACTTTGTGGAACATTTACACAAATATGTGGTCATTTCCCTTAGGTGGTCAGGACCGAGAACTTCTTCAAAGGAGAAAGGAGAAGTACAGACAGGAGCTAATGGAACAGATGGCTGAGCAACAGCGGAATAAGAGACGGTAATGGAAAGTTACTGTCTATCTTTTTAAAAGATAATGGCTGAAATTTAAAGGCATTCCATTAATTCAGTGTGGTAAGAATCAACTTCATAACTAAGGGATTCCAGGCAGCTGAGTAATATTGCATTTAATTAAACTTGTTGTCATGAGAGCTTTAGTTTTTAATGAACATATTCACAAGCTTTCAGTGGAACAAAGAAAACCCAGATACGTTTTCATTTTTACAACTGATTTTTTAGTTTCTTAAGGGTAAAGAAGCTTTAACTAAAGTTATCTTTTTTTGCTGGTACAGAATTTCCTAAGTAGTTGGCAAAGTTGAAAATTATTTCGTTTTTGCCCTCCGATTTTGCAAAGTAACCTTTCATTTTTAAAGTATTTGATCATCTGGTTTATGCAGAATAATAAAACATTAATTCTTCTTTACCTATTAGTCACTATCTACTGAATTATAGTCTGGATACATAAAAACACCAGCAATATTAGAGAAGGGATAAGGACTTAAAAACTGGTTACTGTTGACAGTCTCATTGTGACAAAAATTGTACATGAAGAACAAGCCTGAGCCCAGAAATTTCAAAACAGTATTTATTGCTGCACTTTTAAATCATTCATTTCAATGTGTTTAATATTAACTTCTTGAATGTGAATAAAGACAATTCTTTTAGGAATGTCCTGAAAAGTTGTAATAAAAAAGAATTGTGGTGGTTTCTCCTTTTATGGTAGTTGGATTTTTACTACGTGAAATGGGTGATAGCCAGATACTTCTTGAGAGTTCTCTGTATTTATAAATACTATATAATTTCCTTCCCTGATTCCAGAAGAATTCAAGTGGAATCATTGTCTTTCTGTTATCCTGTATTTTCAGAGTTCTTTTAACTACAGAGTTGTGGATTTGTGCTTTGAAAGAATTAATATAGTTGTTAGTTGCTTTCTGATTTGATTCTTTAATTTACAAAACCAAAACAGTGAGAAGGAACTTGAGCTCTCAGTTGCTGCCTCTGGAGCTCAAGACCCAGAAAAGAAGGTAAGAAATTTGGATTTTCTTTCATCTATATAGCCTATTCTTTTTTTCTCACATGCACACTGTAGTTGCTTAGTCACAAAACGCTGTGGAGTTTCTATAAAATGATAAATGTTGGGCTGTTTAACAGGGCATCAGTGTACAACAAAATTAAAGCCCAGGATGATGTGGCTGTGTCATGGTTTAACCCAGCCAGCAGCCAAGCCTCACAAGCAGCTGCTTGCTCACTTCCCCACCAGTGGGTTTGGGGAAAGAAAGAATAGGAAGTGTAAAAGTTGGAAAACTCAAGGGTTGGGATGAAGACAGTTTAACAGGGAAAGTAAAAGCTGCACACATCAGCAAAACAAAACAAGGAATTAATTCAGAGCCACACATGGACAGGCAGGTGTTCAACCATCACACATATTGGGAAGACAAACCATCCCTCAAAATATCCTCCCCTTCCTCCTTCTTCCCCCCACTTTTTGTACTGAGTATGATGTCCTGTGGTCTGAAATATCCCTTTGCTCAGTTGGGGTTGCCTGTCCCAGTTGTGTCTCCTCCCAGCCACACCCAGGCTCCTCACCAGCATGGCAGCTGGTGAAAAAGCAGAAAAAGCCTTGGCTCTATGTAAGCTCTGCTCAGCAATAAAAAAGAACACCTCTATATTATCAGCCCTATGTTCAGCACAAATACAAAACACAGCCCTGCACCAGACGCTGGTGGAGAAAATTAACTCTTCCCCAGCCAAAAGCAGCACAGGCTGTAAGTCATTAAACATACTTTCAGCATCAGAGGAAAATATTTTCATGGAAATTATTGAGCATTTTCTTTTGCTGTGTCAAAACAGAAATTTGTACCAACAGTGGGTATCATGGAAAGAATGACCTAGTGTCCAGTGATAGCCTCTTAAATGCACACAGTAGTAACCTTTCTTTGGGAATGCAAAGTATGCTGCACAAAGCTTTCTCTCAGTTAAAAAAAGGTTATTTTGCAGATGAATTGATCTCATTTTAACAGTTTTTAATTTAAAATTTGTAAATTTTTAAGTGATCCATTATAGTGTTTAGAATTACAAGCATTTTTATAGGATTTTGTAAAAAGGAAGTTGTTTGGTATTGTGCTGTTTGTAAGACTTAATGCAGAGTTACTACTGTCTCCACTTCCTTAGTAAGGTGGTGATTACATTAAGAATTTTGATTAGCATGCATCCAGGAGTAGGTTGTCAGCACCAGTAACATTATTAGGAGGCTGATAGTCTTGCAGAGACTGACAGGACTTGTGTGATTTGCATGCACTTGCTATGTGCCCAAAGCCATTGCAGGTTGGGTGTGGTGGAGATGTGCTGTTTAGGATGTAGGGTGGTATCTTTCAAGAAAGAATAGATTGGTTATTAAGTTAACTGGTTACTGGTTTAAATTATTATCAGTGCTCTTTTTGGGGAATGCTTTGATGCAGATTGAAACTTGTGCCATTTTTGGAGGGCTCAGCGGAGGGGAAGGACGGTCCTCTGCTAGAAAAGGAAGGGGGATGAATTGCTAGCTGTAAGATGCTATTAGTCAGATCCTTGTGGGTGTCTTCCAACTCTGAATATTCTGTGAAACCATTTCTTTTTTTCTGTGAAACTTGGGAGAGAGGAGACTGAGAATGCACGCAGACAAGCAATGAAGCTGAATCAAAATTCTTACTCCTAAAAGGGAAGGAAAACCACCTGTCTGGTTGCATGTTCCTGCCTTCCCTGCATAAAGTGTCTGTCATGCTTATTTGGTCCCTGTTTCAAACTCATTCAGCTCGGTTATCTGGCAAAAATCTGAATCTTTTTTTTGCTGCTTTAGTTGATATAGAGGGGTCAGCTGGCTAATCAGGGATTCACATGGAGAAAGGGAGGGGAATAGAGGATACAGCTGGGAGGCAGGCAGGGGAGGAGGCAGAGCTGAGCAGAGGATGCTGGCTCTTCTGGCTCAGCAGGCTGCAAGGTTAGTGTAAACAGTTCTGTGTAATCAAAGCTGACTATGCAGAAGCATGCTGTGCTGCAGCACTCAATATACCATACACATCTCAGTCAGAGTCTGCAAAGTGCCTGTTGTAGGAACAAAATTCTATCTAGAGCAAGTACACGGCATGCATAGTGTTTTAAAAGCACTAATTTAGCTGAAAGCCTTCAATTAAGTTGAATTGCTACATTCATTAAGCATCAGTCACTGTTAGCTTTAAATTGCCTCTCAGGGAGAGATTCTAATTAGGTGCATTTCTTGATTAATTACAGGTTGGTTAAATAGCAATGCCTGATTAAGAATCTATAAATGTAGACTGTTGTATGTGCTGCTTGTTTAAAGTGAAACAATCCCCAGGATGAACTGAGTACTGAAGTCACATCTGAAATCAGCAGTGGAGCTGAAATCTGGGGCACTTTGGGAATGCTTTCATATTAAAGTTGTTAGTGAGAAAGGCTGTTTTAAATGTTCTCCAGCTCAAGACATTGGATTTGAAAAGACAAAAAGTCTGTGGACTGCTTTATAAAATTCAAATGCTTTAGCTAGTATCATTATCTAATTCTGTGTTCAAATCTAGGAATTTGTAGTTAAATGCTATAAGCAAATATTCATGTCTAGTAAATTTTGAGAATTTTTATGTAAACGCTGTAGTCCTTGATTGGTGAGTACTAACTGCCTTATATACACTGTCTTGCAGCTAAATGATGAGGAGGTAAAGATTTAATATTCTGTTGAAATATTTCCATATTGTAGGGTATATGGTTTTCTGGTAGATATTTAATATGTAGCTGGTTTCGGGTATTACTTTCTCCAAATGCATGTTAGTTGAAGAACTTCAATATTAGGACCAATGAATTCAGAACAAAATCTCTTTTACTTATACAGTGTATGATTTTTTCCCATTCTTCTATTATCTTGCCTTATTTAAACAAACATTGCAATAGTTATGCAGAGCAGTTGCTGTTGGGGCTTTCTGGGTGTAGTAGAATAGTTCTGAAACTGACTTGCATGCCTTCACATTATTTGCACGTTGCTTTTGACTTTCTTCTGAGGCTGACAGTTACTAATAAACATTTGCTACTTCGGGCTTAAAAAGAACTTCCCCCAAAAACTCGTAATTTTTGTGGTTGAAAAAATTAATAAGATCAAAGGAAATCAAAAAATAAAATAATGGTATTGCAAGGAAATGTTATTGGAAAAAGTCTCAGTGTGTATTTGATTTTAGTTTTTACTGATTACTATTTCAATCTTGAGGTGGAGGGGAAGGACTTCAGAAACTTTTCTATGCATAATATGAGAATACTGTCACTGTGGAAAACTGGTAGCTATAGATAAACTGTTCTACAGACACCTCTGGAAATGTTCATTTTTCTGGATATTAACTAGATTTATATACTTCCTGAAACCAATGATAAGGTTACTTTTTGTAAATCTCTGATAAAATTCCTGGATTTCCTTGTAATACTGGATTCCCAGTAGATCACTGGGAGAAAGAAATGCAGTTACTAGAAATTTGAACATTTGAAATTTGAAAGTTGGGATCCAGTGAAGTGTTTAACCCAACATAAGTGGAGGTTCAGAATATTTCCCAGTAATAAGGTAACTGTTTTGTTTTGTTTTTTTTCTTCTCTCTTTTTTCTTACTTTTTTTTTTTCCCTTCAGCCAAATAGATTGAAGCAGTTTGGCTTCACAGCAAGAGCTTTTGAAGAGAAGTTACCTCCTGAAAGGCCCAGGGTGGCTTTCCAAACTCCAATGCCAGCCCGTTCAGCCTCTCCAGTGAATGAAGACTCTCAGAGTGATAAAGAATTTCAGAGGGGTGTAGTCAGCAGTCTTGGGGACATGGTAGCTCCCAGGTGCTTCACCATCATGTTCATTTTACATGTTAAGTATGATTGTTGTTTAGCATGTTGATCCTTCTCCAAGGAACTGATGAAGGTAGAAATATTTTGATAATTAACAGAAAACTAACTGGAATAATCTTTTAATGTCAGTTTCCTCATAGTTTATTTGAAAGCATCCATGGAGGCTGCATTATCTCTGAAGGCAGCTCTCTCATAGTGGATGTTAGTGTAGGATAAGGGTTGATCTGTAGAAATTACGTCCCTGTCTGTAATACTGAATCATGTTGTAAAAATGCTTGGGCCCATGCCCTGCAGAGTCCATGTTTTCAGAAGGTTGGTATGGCACCAATTTGGCTCCTATTAATTAAGCAGTCTCCCAGGGCTGAGCTCAGAAATGCATTGTAGGCAAGGACAGCTTCCACTAGGTGCTGTGATTGTGACTAAACTGTTCAGGGAGAGAAGGAGCTTCAGGCACGTGGCTGAAGCTGCACTGTGCTATTCACCCTTTGACCAGATCTTGCCTTGTTTTCTTTACTGATGTAGCCAGGAAGTACCATTAATGAGCCACTTAAAGAAGGCGTGCTTGTTTTATGTTCTTTAGATCTCTGGAATAGTCTGGGTTCACCTACTACTCCCTCAGGGAAGGTTAATTCCCTGCTGAGACTCACTGCATCTTGTTCCTGCATGCCACTAATGAGAGGTCTTCAGCTGAACTAAATCTAGAATATTTCTGTAATGAATTCTCTTTCTGTCCCTGGCCCTGCTCTATTCTCTTTCCCTCCCTCTCCTTCTCTCCTCCCCCCACTTCTTCTGATGATATCTTCAGTTGTACAACAAACTAAGGAATTGTGTCCCTTTTTCTTTAAGGCTTGCACCGTTGCCACCGCCTCCAGCACCAGTTTTGACAGACAACTATAAAACACCTTATGATGATGCTTATTACTTTTATGGGGCTAGGAATCCTTTGGATCCTGCTCTTGCATACTGTAAGTTGATGATTTTAGGTGGCTTGGTTCTTAGAGTCATGCATATGATTGCTTTTGATCTAGTTAAATGATGAACAATGTAGAACTTGTAACAGCAAATTAAACCCATTTTTAAGATGTGTGTTGAATGAAAAGGGCTTTTTCTTTCAATACTGTTTTTGAATAAAGTAATTTTCTCCAGCAGCAAAAAGGGCTGTGACTTGAACAAGCTTGAACAAGCTCTAGTCTCAGATTTTTTGCTGTTATGCCTCTCAGATAATTTCCTTTATAATATTGATAATTAAAACATTATTTCCTAAAATCACTTAAATAATTAATTACATGTTTAAGTGTTGTTACAATTTCAGATATAATTATCGATATTTTAAAGATATTTATTAATATATTAAATGCATTAAAATAATGTATGAAGTGGTCTACTTTTATATTTTAAGAACTCCTTTTTTGTCTGTCCTTTGCTTCATGATGATTTAATGATTGAAACTATTGTGATTTGTGTAGGGAGGGACTGAATTATGTGGTGTTTGTTTTTCTTTTTTTTTTTTAGAGAAAAAAATCAGAAATACTTTAAAATATTTTTGTGCTATCTTCGTAGAAAAGGTAAAGGATAAAAAAACTTAGAAAAACACTCTTTTACTAGTTGATCTGAATGACTTGGAAAGAATGAGGATGTGTCACCATTGAGCGAGTAATTTAATTATGTTATTTGATGTAAAATATGTTAATGAGGTAATTTGTAAAATCTAAAGGGATTTAGTTGAATTTAAGAAATAGATTTGTACCTTGGCTTTGTATTTCTTGCTTTAGAGGGCATTGAGGGTTAGATGAGTTTGTTATAGAAGCTGAGAATTCTGTATATTCTATACTCACAGAGTTTGAGTGGTAAACTCTCTTCTTTTAGATAATGACAAATATTTATATCTGAGCATTCAAAATTTAAAATATGGTTTGTTTTGTTTTTTTACTGTGCAGATGGTACAGGTATGATGGGAATGGAACCCACACCTAGTCTGGATCCTCCATTAGGCCAAGTTCCAGTAGGGCAACCCATGTAAGTATTATCTTTATTCATATTCTTTGTGTGTGTTTGTCTGTATTGATTTTTTTTCATGTTGGTAATATTTTGCTGAGAACAGATATGCCTTTGAAATAAAATGTGTTAAAGACAGCTCTTCAAACTTCTAATTGAGGATTTCTATCTAGACAATAAAATAATAATTCAGTGAACTGCTATTTTCATATGGATTTAAGAAAATGTTTAGGATTATAAACTGCCAGGCTATGGGAAACAACAGCTCTTAAATACTTCAGGAAGGGATGTAAAAAAATTTTTTACCCTACCCTGGACCCTGTGATGTTTTTCTTTTATATGTGTGATTTTTCAATTTAGAAATAACATTGGACAGAGGAACACAGGAGACAGGCAAAGAAGCATGGGAATGTATTCTGAAGAAAAAACAAAGCCTTCCAAAGAGGCAACATTATCTTATCAACAAGAATTACAACAGCAGGTACTGAGTGATAAAGCTTCTCACTCTTCATTCTTTTACTTTTTGACATACAATGGTTGTAACTATAGTACTCTTTCAGAGACTTCTATGTAGCTTACTAATGAAAGGCTTTTTGACTCTCCTTCCTTTCATCACTTCCTTCCTCTGACCCTACTTCAGCTCATTTCAGCTCTTCAGATGGACAGTAAGCTCTCCAAATTTTTTGTCAAAGGCAGAGAGAATGTTAAGAATGTTACAGCAAACAGATCAGTTCCAGGAATGAACATAAGAACCTGCATCTTAAAAGGAATGGCTTGTATTGCTCTGATATTCTATTATTTCTATAATTATTAGGAACAGTGTAATTTCTGTAAGTTCTTCATGATCATTTGGACACTTATTCAAAAGTTTGCCTCATGTTTATTTCCAGTGTGCTTGTTGGTGGTGTCTTACTTCTTTTTAGCTTCTCTTTTGATAGACTAGGCAATTTTTGGGGTCTCCTGTTCCAGTAGACATCTGAGTCCTATACTCACTTTAGTGGCCTTTTGCTGCTGCACCTTGTGGGAGTTTGTAGTTATAAAATGTTTTTGACCATGATGAAACGCGTTACTTTTGCAGAAATTTTCCTAGAACCCAGTTCAGGGGCACTTAACATTTTCTTATTTTTTATGTCTTTCCTTAGTAGACATAAATAATACCTTTAAAAATACTATAGTTCTAATTATGTTTGTGCATAAGGGATAAAGGAAAGGCTGTCAACCAAGTGGAAATGAAGAATAGAATAACCATTTAGGAATAGTGTTAAATACTGTACATGTGGTTGTCTGAAGGCATTCAGAGAAGTTCTCTTTTCTCATTATAGTCCTAAGTAAGTATTACCTTCCTATATGAGAGACTGCACAATTTAACAGAAAAGTGTAATAAACACGGCATGATACAGTCTTTCATAGTTTTTATGGTTGAAAGCAGTTAGGATATTCTTCTTTTTGCATTAGATAAACCTGACTGATGATTTTTGTAAACACTTGAAGGGCCTAGATGGGTCTTTGTCTACTCATTATATCTCCTATGAAATTGTGATTGCTTGATGAAAGGATATTAAAAAATCATAGAGTGGCCTAGGTTGGAAGAGAGCTTAAAAATCATCTAGTTCCAACCCCACTGCCATGGACATCTTCCACTAGACCATGCTGTCTGATCCCTCCATCCAATATGACCTTGAACACCTCAGGGGATGGGGTATCCACAACTTCTCTGGGCAACCTGTTCCAATGCCTCACCACCCTCATTGTGTTTTATCTAATTATATTTATCTAATGAAATGTTTTTCTAACACACATGAGAAATAAACTTAAGAAAAATGCATTAATATATTTCAAATGCATAAATAGTTAATATTTTAAAAGCTTTGAGTAAAAGATGGACTTTTTAACAGCTGTTCACTTTATAAATTCTGTAAATTAGGAGACTTAATTCCATGAATGATTTTGAAGAAAAAGAAGAACAAAGCATATGAACATTATTGTGTTACATAGATCATAGTGAATAACCACTGAAAACTATTTTATGAATGATTATAGAATTGTGTAACATTCTTTTAAGGCATTTACTATTTGGAGTCATCTCCAGTCTATGTTTTGGTTGAACGAAACATAGCAGATTGAGAGAAGTAAGTGCAGTAATATTGTAGAATTTTGCCTTTTTAATTTTCAGCCAGTATAATCATCCGTATCAAAGATCCAAAGATATGGAATTTTTGATCTAGTGCAAATGTCACATGTGGACATTTCTGGAACTTGGCAGTTTTATGATGTGTAGGATGTTTCTCTGCTTATGCACAACTGGATGAGCACGTTTTGACAACAGAACTCAATGCACTGTCTGCAGTGTAGATGGTGAACTTTGGCTTTGCTTGCTGTAGATGAGGGAAATAGATAATGACAGCATTCAGTATTCTCTGTTAACTTTTTATTAAACTTCTACTTAATGTGATATTATTGTGGAACTGACTTTGGCTGGTTTGTTTTTAGATAAGAGAGAGAGAAGAGCGACGCAGACAAGAGCGAGAGGAGAAGGAGAAGTTAGAAGCAGAAATGAAGAATTACAATCCCTGGGGAAGAGGTGGTGGTGGTGCTCCTCTCAAAGATGCAGACGGAAATCTGATAAGTATGTTTGTGAAAATTATGGGTTGTCTTTTCAAGACTGATGTTTTCTTGCTCTCATAAGGGCTCTATTCAGCCATATTATTCCTTGTTGGGTAACACTGGTAGCCCGTGACAAATAAGACTTGTTTCAAGGAGATGCACTCCACGAATAATGGAGTTATTATTTTGATTTCTGTAGAAACATTCAAAGAGTACAATCCAAACAAAATGGGAAACACAGGATATGTCAACTATAAGTGAAGACACAATGCAGTTGTAAAGGGAGAAGGAGGAAAACAAGCTGTCAGAATCATTTGCAATACAAAAATGTTAAAGTCTATTGTGCAATTTTAATTTAAGCATGTCCTAGGAACAGTTTTTTAGTTTTTTTGGGTTTTTTTTTTCTTTTTAAAAATGATTTCTAGGCTTAGAAATCTCTGTTTGTGATATGAAAAATGGAGATGGATTTATATAAATATACAAAGCTAAGTGGACTATTTTTACTTCCCAAAGTAACACTGCTGGTAAATGGTTATATGAAGAGCACTAAGCAGTAATGTTTTTTAAGGCTTACTTTTTACCAAGTGCTGTTTTATACAAGATGGGAGTAGTGAGCTGGAAAGTAGCTATGATCCAGGTTGTTCATCTACCCTTCCAGTAAATTGTTAAATATTTACTGGATAACAATTTGTATACAAAAGTGATTAATTTTAGTTATAATTTAGTTTAGTTTTAGTATGACACCTGATCAACATATGTCAAAATTAATAGTATATTTTGAGAGTAGTGAGTAAAGTTGAAATGCTTTTTAAAGATTTTGTGACCAAATTAAAAGTTTAGAAGCTTGTATTAAGGATCCAGGCTTGTGTTTGTCCTCAGGCCAGATAGAGGTGTTCATACTGCCTGAATTCAGGCACTGCATTTATGTGTTTGGCTTCTTCCTCTAGGCTTCAACAGTGGTGTGACTGGAAATCTAAAGGTCTCATACTGGCCTGAGCTCTGCACATAGATGCTGAGAAGTTTATCTCTGTCTGTAAATGAGAAACCAAGACAGAGAAGCTTCTTACCCTGTTTTCTTGAATTAAATATGTAAAATACTTTTCCCACCATAGCTTGGCCTATGAGTCAAGTGTCATGAAACAGGAGATGCTTTCTGACATGTCTTTTGTATGTGGTGTGACTTATCATTTTATCCTCTTAAGAATGTCTGTAAATAGCTTTTGAGACTCTGATATATGGAAAGGCTGCGTTACAGAGAGGCATGGATTTTAAAGTTCTTGGAATCTGTGTGCTTAAATGACTACAGTAATTCAAAATTATCAGAAACACTGTTTCAAAAGGTAATCTGGAAATTGTACAGTGCTTTTTTGTTTTGAAATGAGCCTTCTAAGTGTAGTATGGTAACATTTCAAAATCAGCTGAAATTAACATCTTTGATCAGGCACCATGTAAATTTTGATGAAATGTCACATAATGTTGATTTGCTTACATATTGAAATCTGCACCTGGATTATTACTGAAGACATGAAGACCAAAATATGCTTCAATGCTTCAATTGCACTTATTTCCCTCAACAGTAATTAGAGAGATTCAGTGCTTAAAATATCAATACTAAACTCAAAAGTATTTTACAGCTTTAAGGAGATAGAAGAAAGGGTAGTTTCTAAATATCTGCTTGTCAACACAGACTTGACGCTCAGTTTTGTCTTTGAGTTCTTTATCTTTCTGATTAATAGCATTTTGAGGTAGGGGAGAAGGGAGGTTTGCTGTGAAGAATCATTCCTGACAAAAGAAAAGTGACAAAGTGTATATTTTAATGTTAGTTAATAGAAGCTAATTATTAGAATCTCACCCTTAGCCTCTGTATTCTTGCCTTTGCCTGAATTTTTTGTTCCCATAGCTGATATACTCAGGAGAAGTGGAATCTGGTCAAAACCCCCTGTATTTTGGAGAATCTACAGTGAATATGTCTTTATGAGATTAAAACACTACAAACAGTTATTTCCCCTTTCCTTTAGCGGACTTGAATGTCATGCACAAGCGAAATGGAGAGGCATATCATAATCCAGAGGCAAGACTGTATGAAGATAAAAGGGCTATTGTTGACCTAAATTTGGCCTCCTCGAGACCTGAGAACTCAGAAGCATCTACAAATAAAATAGCAGGTTTTTAAGAATACTGTATTACCCCTCTAACTATCCATAAGTCTTAGTGATCAAAATATTTTCCTCTTTCTGATACTCCTTTGATAGTGTTAGTGCTGTCCACCTGTGAAATCAGTACCATGCTCCTTTCCCAAATTTCTTCATTGCTGTTACTGTACTCTTAAAACCTTATCTGTCTTGTCAGTAATGATAACTAAAGCTGTTTTAGCCCTGAAGAGTCAGGATCAGTCTATTAGTTTTCCAGATTTCCTAATTAAATCTTTGTACGTGTTTGTCTTCTTTTTAAATGACACAGTAAAATACAGCTGTGTAGTAGGTGAGACTGTGGAATAAAAGGAGGTCTGCAGGTGTATGATGTTAGAGGTTAAGGTGAGATGGGTACAGTAACTAGCTTAACAAGTTCTAAAAAGTTGCAGGTCGATTGGGTACATGTGGAGCCCTGTGTACTGCCTCCAAGTTCTAAGGATTTTGATATATTTTCATATTTTAAAGCTAATGCATGTTTATCTTCTTACATTGTTTGAGGCATCTAAATGAGAGCACTGTTTTACTCCAGACCTGTCCCTAGTTTAGCATGGGCAAAGGCCAGGATTGGTGATGGTCTTCTCAACTCAGCTTAGATGCTACTTTTCCTTATCTTTGAATTGTTGCACTTCTTAATAAAGAATTTCATGGTATTACAATATATAGGTTGTATATGTAACCATTTAGTAAGAAGTGAAACAGGAAGGCTGTTAAAGTAATAATATTAAACAGCCAAGAGTCCCCTGTTCAGATCACTTATTTTGGGATCAGAAGGTGGAGCACATCAGTGATGGAATCTTTATAGTCTTGTACGTTGAATTTAATCAGCCACGTAGTAGAGTGGCTTTGTGTATGATTTGGTGGGTTTGGTTACTTGGTTTTGTGGGATTTTTGATATACTGCCCTGTTAAAAGAGGAACCTGCAGGATAGTAGCTGGTACACAGCAGGCATTTTCCTTGATACTTTCCACAGTAACTTGTCTGTCTTACACCCATGGCTTCTAAGTGGTGTATAAAATTTATTCTGCTTTTTTATATGGAAGTATCTCCATCATGAAAGAGCCACATGTAAATTTAGTTCTATTTTGGAAGGATTCAAGCATTGCTTCCATGTAAGGAAAAATAATCTCAAAGTGTACTCCTTGATATGCAAACACATGCTCCTAAGGCTAGGCTGTAGCAGTAAACATGTGCATTCCTATGGGAATACTTTAATGTGTTATTTATGCTTTCATCTGACTTGGGTGTTACCATATAGGGAAATGTAATGTTCATCTCAGCTCAGTGGAGCTATTGCTCTTGCACATCTTTGAGGGACTATCCTTCAGAGCAGACATGATAGGAGTGAAGAACGTGCTGCATGAGCTGGAAAGTTAACACAACCCACTCTGCTTTTCCTTTACTTCGTTTCTTTCTCCTCTGCTTCTTGTAGGGATTCTGTTCTGCAAAACCTGCTCTGTGTGGTATCTGAATTAATCCTCCTATCTGGAGCTTTGGGGGTGGTATGGTTATGTCGTGGTCGTAACTCAGGGCTAAAAGAAACCTGACACTTCAAACTTGATAGTACAGAAAACACTTTATACTGACAGAATTCAGATTTCTGACTGCTTAGAATTTTATTTGCCAGTCTGGGGCTTTGCTTTTTGTAGCATCCTTAGCTATTTTGTGTAAACGTTGTTCTGTTAGGATGCTCTGTTTTTAAAGAGTGAATAAACCTGAGGAACGGAACTGTATGTTCTAAGTAAAAGGAATTGTATGCAGTAAAGCTACAAGGTGTAAAGTATTTGCTATTCTAATTAATTTGCAGGTAATGTTCTTAGATACTAAGCTGCAGATTGAACAGTAGAATAGGTGACTTTACTAGGTGTTATTTTGTGGAAATGCAGCTCGATTGGATGGTATTAAGCAGTTAAAACCTGGCAATTATTGCAGGCAGAAAATGTAAGAACTCTCAAGCCCAGCTATAGCCTTGAGTTACGACTGCCATAAGCTTCCTTTTGAACCAAGTGTCTCAGATTCCCCCTTCCTCACTCTGGCTTCCTTCTTAAGTTTCTTTGTTATCTGTAACCTTTCCCCTCCCTTAGGTATTACATTTGCACAGGCCTCTCCTTTTGCTCGAGGTAATGTGTTTGCTGAACCTCCATCTCCAGAGCAGCTTAAGCGACAGGAATCCTACAAGAACTTCCTGCGTCTACAGGTGAATGCTTGTGCCAGGTATCATCCCGTGAAATAAACTGTAAAGAGAGGGTTTACACTCAGAGTAAATCATCACTGCCCACCAAAGACCTTACCTCTGCTATCACAGCCAATTCTGCACACAAGAGGTGTACTAAAAGCTACATACTATAGATCTTCTTGGATTTTGGCTTACATAGTATCATCACTTAGACAAGCATTTCTTAATAGTTGGCTTCTTTAATCTAGACTCTATTTTTTTTTAAGTACAGCTCTCTATATATGGTATTGAGTTCTGAAACTGTGCATAGAGTAAAGGTTTGCATACTTAAATGACTACAGAAACCAAGATGCTTGCCCTTGCAGGTCTACCTGACAAAAATGCACATTTATCAAAATGAAATGGTGATCAGTCATAGTGTAGTTATTTATTGGTGGGTATATAAAACCTGGCTGTTCCTCAACCAGCTTATGTCTTCTGTCCATAATATTTCACATTTAATCTTATGCTGCATTAAATATCAGTGGAATTAAATACCATTATCAAGGAAATAATAGATAATTTAAGAGACTACTAAAGTCACACAGTGTTTGATGTGGATCTCTTGAAAAGAAAAGATCAAGGGTTTCCATGCTCAGCACTGCCAAATAGAGTAAAGATTGGGCAGATCTTTTGCTTCAGTAAGTCAACACTTTGTCTAATAATACTGCAGTTGTGGAATGGAAAAAGATAATTACCATACCTTTTTGGTTTCCCATCTTCCATTATTTAATCAGTGAATAAAAGTGTTACTCTACCACATTCTGAATAGAGCAAGTGTTAGGAAATACTCTGGTTTTACTAGTACTGTTTATAAGTAGTTTTCCTGTAGAGGAGTGGCTCTGATGGCCAAAAAGTAATAGTAAAATAGAATCTCATTTTAAGGGAATTCTGAAGCTGAAATATAGGACAGGCTCTAGGATTCTTTTGGTTGCACCATATAGCTTTTGATTTTGCAAGTAGGTACTGCAAAAATCATGGTGGTAAATGTTGTTAATCAGACTGTTACTGGCTATTGACAGTTGAATACTTCTTTTGTTTTAAAGATTGAAGAAAAGAGACGTAGGGAAGAAGCAGAGCGAGAAAAACTTAGAATAGAAGAAGAAAAAGAGGAAAAACGACTTGCAGAGCAGAGGATGAGGATTCAAAAAGCATATGAAGAGGAACTAGAGGAGAAAAGGAGGAAAGATGAGGAGGTGTAGTATTTTGATACTTTGATTTCTTTCCATCCTAAACTAACCCTTTGTAATATTTGTTGTGTGGAAGGTAAGCCGAGAAGTGTCCTGTGAATTGGTCTTTGCTTTTAAGTGGTCTGCATTAGTCAGAGGAGAGGTGGAAGATTGTCAGCATTAACTAGCTCATTCTTCTCACTCTTCATGCCATACTACAAACTTGAAGTATTGTTAATTCTTTCAGGAAAAAAACCTGTAATTTTGTAAATGACACTGGTGCTCTCTTTTCTAAAAGAAATTGGTGGTAAGGCCAAATTATTAAATTGGTGAATTAAAAAAATATCATTCCAGGTTTTGTCTTAAATCTAGTTCTTATAGAATTTTTTGAAAAATGTACCTATGCAGGAATATTTTGTAAAGACTTTTTTTGAATTGGCCAAGAGAATTTGTTTTGGATGAATGCCAAGCACATCTAGTGAATGCTTTTCACGGACGTAAATTCAAACCTAAATCAATACCCATGGATTTAATTCACGGGTAATTCATACCCCAAATTTTTATTTCTTGGGTTTGCATTTTTTAATAAATTTGCATTATTTAGAATGTAATAAATAATTGTAGGAAGAGCACACAAGGCTATCAGAGAAGGAAGAGTCTTTTAGTGCCCTGGGGGATTATGGAAGATAAGATTAGGATGTAGGACTTGAAAATTTCTAAGATGGAACATTTATCTTGTATTCTAAATTCTCCTTCCCTAGTATGAGCAGATTAGTTGGATGAGCCTTGTCTTCTGGATACCACAGCTGCTGTGGCAGAGAGTAGGGAGCTACCTGGTGTCATTGCTATTCAGTCACACGACTAAAACTGAGACCAGATGATAATTTCTCTGTGGTCTTGTGATATTGTGGTGCATGTCTGCAGTATGTTTGTTATTTCATTTCCAAAAATTAATATGAATCCTAATTTCTGGAAATGACTCCTACAGTTTAGCCTTAGCTGATGGCAGATCTGGGGGTCACAAACTGGTGTTTATAGAAGTTATTAGGAATTCTCTTTCATGACGTTAGCAGACCCAGGGCTGCTGCTGTTTGATATTTACATGAGATATATTTTAATTTGGATATTTGAAGTCAGACTAATGAAGTATGCTTTTTTATTTCATACTAATCACTTGGATGTGTAATTTTAACTTATCAAAGAGAAAGAAAACAAATTATTAAATGAGCCTTTTTTATGTATTAATTATGTTACAGCGAAGATTGAAAAATAAAGAAATAATTCAATTAGGTGAAGAAAGGAGAAAAGAGGCAGAAAAACAAGGAAAAGAAAAAGAAGAAAAGCGAGAGGAACAGCTCAGACAATATTTTGAGAAAAAAGAGAAGGAGGAGGAAAAGAAGATGGTATGTTTAAGTGACTTTTCTTAGAAAACTTTAAAAAACAACTGGATTTTAAGAAAATCACATGATTTCTTAGACCTCTGCCTTCAGTGTTGTTCCCCTCTCAGTTTATCAAACTGCAGTATACTTAATGCACAGAGAACAGCTGATGGAAAAATCTGTCATACTGCAGTAGAAACTTACCTTGTAGATCAAATTTGCATTAAAAAACAGGAAAAGCAAGATGAATAATCTGCACTCAATTTTTATATCTGCTGTGAAAGTGTGACCTGCATTTGCTGAGGTGTAAATATAAATAAAATTGTTTATTGGAGGACTGGTAGGACTGTTCATCTTAAAAAAATCATGTTTTTGGTAATTTATTTATTTTCCTTTGACCTGGATGATGTAAGAAATCCATTGCATAGAATTCTGATGGACAAAATCTAAGTAAATTTGTACTAAATTTCTGTAATTTCTCTAAAATAGACAGACATAAAGGAAATGTCTAGAGGAAAAAAGATCTATAACTGAAATATAAATTTATCAAAAAACACCCTGCAGCATAGAAAAAAAGTATTAAAATTTCTATAGGTAGAGAACAAAAATCACATTAAATAATTTTTGCAGTCATTTTATGCACTTAGGAACATTTCTTTCTGTCAAAGGGAAAACACTAACAAAACTGCCTGTCCAAAATAACACTTTATTGAGGAGCTACAGGGATGTAGTTTCAGTCTTGGTTTCTTCCCTGCAGTTGTCACGACAATCTTCTCCCGTCGTTCCCGCTCTGCAGAACAAATCAGTGAGAAAAGAGGAAAGGATTCCCTCTGCTGAGAGCCGTCTGTCTTACTGTGCACAAGTATGTTATAGCACAAGATTGTTAGAGCAAACTTTACTGGTTTATTTAAGAAAGTACCGCGTGTTAAATCATGCCAGGTTTTTAAAATTTGCCAGTTATTACTGCAATGCCATGGATAACGAGACAGTCTTTACATCAATCAGTCTTGGAGCTCTGAAATTTAAAGTTCAAATTTTATTTCAGGTGTTGAAGATTTTTTTTTTGGTGGTGTGTTATTTTAGTTTTTTTTCTGCATGTGCATTTTCTGTAGGAATGAGTTCCTCATTTTGGAGAGGACATACACTGTCCAGACCCTTACCAGGGGTCTGATGATCTCAAGATTTAGGATAAGAAAGTTTACGTATAATCTAGCAGCTCATTGTTGTCACTCACAGAAGAACTTCACTCAAGCATGAAGTTTAATGTTGATTTTAGTAGCTACTGACATTCTTGTGTAATCTTTGTTTTTCAAAGTACGAGAAGATTATTACTTCTAATATGCTTTGCTTTCTTCTCTGCATCACAAATGAGTTACAGTAGTGGTGCTGAGACCTCGCATTTCTTTTACTTGATAGTCTTCTCTGGGGCTTTTTTTGGCTTTTAAAATAAACTTCTCCTAGAAGAGAGTAGATTAAATAATTGTTTATGACATTTGGATCTCAGGCCATACTCTGTCTTTTTATCGAGAAAGTGTTTGTTTGGTTTTTTTACCAACTCTTTGTCTGAACTGAGCTAATACTTCATAGTACAGTTTCAGAGAATATTTTGTGTCACACTTTAAACCATTGCTATCCCTAAATTTCCTAAATGTGAAGAATGCTCTGGAGATAGGTCAGTTTATTTCTTTAGCAGTACTTGGAATAGATTTGTTTAGAACTCTGAATAGTGCATTATAGGTATTGTCATAGTAATTTGGAATATACATAGAAAGATCAGATTTAAAAATAACCTTAGGCATTCACAACCTGTAAGGTTACTGTTCTGATTTCCAACTATTAATGTAAATTAGCTGTAAAATAAGGAAATAAAATGTACTGCAATTTTTTTCTTTTACAAATGACATTTCATGTTGATGATGATCACTAGGATCCTCCACAGCCCAGAGCTCCTTCTCCACCTGTCCCTGCTAGAAGAAATCAGCTGCGTTCATTAGGTGGGTATTTGTCTTCCTTGCAAACTCACTTTCTATTACAACAAACCCTTCTCTGTTACAGATCCTTTTCTTGCCTGCAAAAGAAGTCTTTTAAAGTTTGCATTTCTGTCTAGGTGTTTTCTCTCTCTTAGTACTATTAATATATTACTGTGATATGTCTGAATTTTTAACACAAAATAAAAATGCATTCATTATGCATCATCATAAGGAAACATATTGTTGTAAAAACTCTGATAATGGAATAACCTGCATAGGAAGTGCTGGATCTCTTGGAACAGGGTACCACTGTGACCAGAATATGGCAAAATGGGAAAGTTTTGGAGTAAGGGATTAGACCAACAGAGTGTAGAGCATTGCAGCTCTAACTCTTAAATTCTACCTACTTTTGTTAGTCTGCCTAATCCTCTCCTCATTCCTCTTAGCTGTCACTGGTTGTTCCAAATTCAGATGTGCTGGAAGGATGTCCTTTGTTTCTTTTAATATTAGTTATCCTGACAATATGTGGGTGGAAAGCAGTAATCTTTCTGCTGATACTTTTTTTTTTACAAGTATATAAGAAACAACACATGAAATCTAGCAGTAAGTGATTTTCTACAAATGCTGCTAGCCTGCAGCAGAAAGTACCTGAGGCCATTCCAGGGATTTGTGGATTTTCCACTAAATGGAAGGCAGAGTGGTTCTAAATGAAGCCTTTGGAAATTGATTGACTCAGACCTGTCACGAGAGAAATAAAGACATATTAACTGAGTCTCGTTTCTGAGGATTTAAACTAGTAAGACTTGCCTGCTAAGTTCTGGACACTAAAGTCTAAAAGTCAGTCAAATATCCAACTATAAGTATGTTATTTGGAAAATGAGGAATTTCTGGAACTGGTTTAACTTGTGGAGGAATGCTGTCCTGACCACAAAATACAGCATAGACCCAAAGCAGGTCTGAGAAGTCAACATGAGCATGTAATAGAAATTGAAGTTAGAACTCTTGACCACTTAAGAGAATCTGCACTAGGCAGACAGATATCCAACACTGAGTCAGGACAAAAAAAAAAAGATATTGAGTGCTTGCAGATACCACTGCAGTTCTTGTTATCTGAGGACTGTGTAGGTTTGCATATTTCAGATTAAGGCTATTTGCTGGCAACACCCACTTGTATTCCATAGCTTTTCCTTTTTTAAATACAGCGAAACACTTCCAGTGACATTTGTATGTTTTCTGCTGTTCAGGGGTTCTGGTCCTTATGCTGTCTCAAAATATAAACTCTGATCTTATTTCTGGTGTATGAAATATTGTGATTCTTGTGTTTGTACAATCCTTGTTTTTATTAACATTTCCTCATATCTATTTTTCCCTTTATTTTTTACTTATGTTTATAAGTAGACCGCAAAGTTGCTCTGACATGGCTTATTTTTAATTTATTTGTGCTAAATTCCAGAGGAAAGGAAGAATGTGATCAATGAATTATCAGAGATGAGGAAACAGCTTCGTAGTGAAGAGAGGCGCCTGCAGGAGCAGTTGTTAAATGTGGCCAGTCATGATAATGTACCAATTACACGGTAAGAATTTAATCTTCAGTTTCAAAAGCTCGATTTTCCACAGGAGCTTACTGTGTGTTACTAGCTGGTATTAGTTGACTAATATACATGAGTAGAATGAAAATATCAAGGCAGAACTTGCATATATTTTTCACTTATTTTTCTAATGTGTTTGGGATTTTTCGAAGACTCTTCCTAAAATTTATGAATGGCTGTACTGGTGAGATACGAAGTTGCAATGCTCTGTCTTGAAGAGTGGTCCAAAACAGATGTCTAAGGCAGAATTACCTCTCATTACCTTTTTTTTCTAGGGCATAATTTGTGCCTGTGAACTGCAGTACTACAGCTGCTGAATATGCTTATGAATACTGTACTGTTGAGGAAGTACTTTCATACTGAAAAATCATATTCTCTTTATTTAATAAATTTGGTTTGCTTCCAAAATGTATTAGCTAATCATACCAATTAGCTGGAAAAGACACATCTAATTACCAGCCTTAGTTCTACTCTGTAAAGTATGAGGGATTTTTTATTTTAAGTAGGTTATCTCTTTTTTATAACACAGTATGCAGTGTAGTGTCATTACTTTCACATTTATCTTCCTGTTCTGATAACTTTATTTAAAGATAAAAGATCTGAACATTTTCAGTATTATATTTCCACCCAACTCATTAGTGGTATGGTGTTAAATTGCTTTCTGCTTGTTTTTCAAACCTGTCAAGCAGGAGGAGAGAGAAGAATCCAAGGGACATATTTGAGATGGCCAGGCTTCGTCTGCACGCTCCAGTTCGGCGACCTTCCTTAAAGGAGGCACCAGATCCTGTCAATATGCAGAATATCTGGGAATTTAATGAACTAAAATACAAAGGCAGGTAGATCTTCCTGTTACTGATGAAGAAGGGTAGGGAAACATCTGTCCTTCTCCTCTATCTTCCATTCCACGCTGGATTTAAAGACAAAAATAAAAATCAGGCTCTTCATGAGCTGCTGGACATGCAATGCACTTTGTGGGCAGTATTTTGTTTGTGTGTGTGTCTCTCTCTGTGGGGCTGTTCCTGCAATTCCATGGAATTCTTGGCCTCACAATGCTGTGCCATCACTCATAGCACTGACCTGTCTTCTAGTCCCTACTGCTTAAACTTCTTGTCCATTTGATATCATGGTGTTATTGAAAGTAGACTGAGTTTGATTTTTTACCAACCAACAAATAAGGTTTCTGTGTAACTTTCTGTTTATTCTTTACCAGAAAACATGTATTTTTAATATAATAAGATTGTAAAATCATTGCTAAGTTTTTGCTCATCCTCTTGGCTGTTACCACTATTATTTTTAATGGTTTTTTTATTACTTAGATATTTCTTTAAAAATGCTTTTCAGAAATGTTAATTTAGAGAATAAATGTGAATTTCATATCTTTGCTCTAGATTCTGAAACACGTATGGTCTTGAGGCACATGTATCCTGATCCTCCAAAAGATGACCAGACTCTAGAGATTCAACAGCAGGCACTGTTGAGGGAGCAGCAGAGGAAACTTGACAAATTGAGAATGAGGAGAGAAACAGAAGGTAAGGAACGAATGCTCTGAGATAAACAAAAATCTTTGAAATTATGTAGGGTGTATTTGATAAGAATTAAAACCCACTAACACTAGTTTTACTTCTTTCAAGTGCACTGTCAGCACTGCAGTACAAAACTTTAAAACACCAGAACTCTGAAAGTCTATCATAATGTAAACATAAAAATGATAGAGTGTTTGGGGGAGCTTTTGTGGTTTTGTACTTAGTTTTGGGGTTTTTTAATGACTTGTGACTGTTTCTCTTTGGTTCCCTGGAAGTAATTTGACTAGTGCCACATACTTCAAAACTTCTAAATGAAAAGTAGTTTTGTTACTGTTTCTTGGAGAAAACTACAGAGCAGTGAAACTCCTTTGCTGAACTGTGGAAAAAATGCTAGCAGCTGAGTTCCATGGAGCAATTATTGAGTTCTCATGGAGGAAGTAGGATGGCTTTGAACTGTGAATGGATTAAAATACAGCAGTGTATCTTCACCTTGATCTCCTTTTAAGGGATGAAATTTTTTTCTATTTCCACTATCTTGGGTTGATTTATTTTAAAGTTTCAGAAACCTGTATCCATAAAAAGCCTTTGCTTTAGAAACCACATGTGAGATACTGTAACTACTTGGAGGTTCTGGAAGGAAAATGTTGCTTGTATCACTAAATAGACGTGGTCCTAAGATAGTAAACATTGGCAGCCTAGCATGGAAAATATTTTGGCTGCATATTGCAGAAGCAGTGAAGAGTAGATGTATTATCCCTTTTTTTGCAGGCTACAATTAATTCCAAAGGTAAGGTTCATTTAGGTATCTTACAAACAGTAGTGAAAGAGCAGTATTTCCAGTTGTTTTAGAGGATATTTAAAATGATAATGAGAGTTGCTTAAACCTATACAAATGAACTCAGTTTTGAGTGCAAGATTCAGATTTCTTGGAAGAGTGTTTGCCTTTGTAATTCAGAGACCTACCTAAATTTTTGAAGAGAAAGTAACTTTATTTCTGTGGTGGCTTAGCCTTTGCTAGCAGCCAGACTCCCACGTGGCTGCTCTCTTGCTTATGTCTCCTCACTCCTGTCCTTTGGGGAAAAGGAAGAATAAAGCTTGTTGGCCAAGGTGCAGATGGGGAGATTGATTAGCAGCTGCTGTTGTGGGCAAAACAGATCTGACTTGGGGAAATTTAACCTAATTACTATAAGCCTAAATATTTGATTTCTAACTTTGAGTAGCAGAAAATAAAAAGCATGAAGCCTTTTCTGCCCCTTTCCTGTGCCCAGTTTCACTCCTTCATTCTCAGTGTCCCTGCTCCCCTTCCTTGCTACCACCCCAGGTACCAATTACTTCTGTGATGCAAAGAGTGATGTCAGGCTTGGGAAGGGGGCATTTTGGTCATCATACAGCAGTTTCTCTGCTGCTTCTGTCTTCTTGCACCTCTCAATCTGCTCTACAGATAGAGCAGATAGTGTCCTTCAGGAGCTGCATGGGAATCTCTGCTCTGGCACTTGAGCACTTCCTCCTTCTCCTCCGGCCTTGGTGCCTCCAGGGCTGCTTCTCACAGATTTGTCCTCAATCCTACTGCCATGCTTTGATTTGCCCTTTCTCAAATTTGTTTGCAGAGGCATCACAAACATGACTGATAGGCCCTGCTGTGTCCTGCAGCAGCTCCATTGTGGCAACAGCTGTGCCCAGCACAGGGTATCCCCTGGCATCTTCCCACAGCCCCCCACCTTGCCACAGTCACCCATGAAATTGCTCCTTAGACTTTATTAGCCTTAGGTGAAATCTGGACATTAAATAAAACCAAGCACATGAGGAAGGAAAATATTTACATTTGTGCATGCTGCTTTGGAAAAACTGAATGTCTTTTCTGGCCACTGGTGCTTTGAGGCTTGCACCTGTTAGCTGCTGCCAGACCTGTAAGATTAGCAGAATTGATAGCAAGATGTGAAGGGTGTCAGCTGTGTTTTGTTCAGTATCCAGCTGAGTGTTAAAGATGATTCCTGTTCTATCTTGGACAGATGAGCTGGTGTTCAGGCAATGTGGGCCATACAGCTTATGGATAATTGAACATCACAGTTGCAAATAAGCACATCTGTATCACATTCTGTGTTAATTACATGGTTGTGAGTATCTTTTAATGCCTAAATGGAATGTATAGGCTTGACTTCAGTCTTCCTCTTTGTGAGATTGACTGAAATGCTGAAAAATAATTCACTGGCTTCAGCTGAGATCTCTCTGGGGCTTGGTTCTGGTTTTCTGCCATTAGAATATTTTAGTAGACCAGTCTGAAAAAGTTTTAATTTCATGTTTAAATTTTAATTTTTCATTAATCTCAAGCACATGGAGTCATTGAGACTTCTGCTAATGGATAATGTAGGCTTCCATGATGACATCTGAGGAAAGGCCTCTTCAGGTTAGCTTAGATTAGTTGACAGATAGGCAGCTGATTTTTATAAGTATTTTCTACTTATGCTTCTAAAGGTTCCTTAAACAGCTTTTTCTCTTTCTCTCTACTACTGCTTTACAACATCATTTAACTTTATAGTCTGTCACGGAGTACCTAGCAAGAGAATTAGTTCCATCTCTCTGTTTCCAGTTTATTTTCCTCAGAGACAAATTCATCACCTTCCTCTCGCTGAAACTAGATGAGTGGTTTTATTGTCTGATTTAAGGCAGCAAGAAAGATGAATTAAAGCAGTATGTACTTTTATACTGTGAGTGAAATAATGTGTTATGGGCTGTTGTGGCAAAGGCATACCTTTTTACCCACACTATGTGTAAGCAGTGTTCTTTGCCTTACATGCTTTTTATAGAGTTTTCCCTCTGATATGTTTGTTTTCCTCTTTATGTGATAGAGGAATATGTTGGCTGTTAATGAAACTATAAACTGAAAAATCAGTGTTTTAAATCCGCCAAGTTTTTAAATGCTAGCTGTGTCCTGATAAAGGAGACAGTTTTTGCAGACTTCTGGATGATTATTATTCTGGGGAATGTGAGGGAAAGCTCCAAGGGCAGGTTTGGTGTTGCTGTGCTGCAGTGCTGGGTGCTGCTTGGCTGGAGCAGTGTGACAGGGATGGGCTGGGGGTCAGGCCAGGAGGACTGACAGCCCTTGTGCTCTGATGCTGGACAGAAGGTCAGCTACACACTGAGTAAGGTGTTGTTTCTTGAATCTCTGCCTCAAAACCAATCTAATAACATAATTTATTTGAAAACTTAAACTAAATAAGAAAAGTAAGTTCAGTTCTGCTTCTTTGCATTTCCAGCATGCATTGGGTCACTGTCAGCTTAACTTTCAGGATGGTTCTCTGTGCTCTCCAGAACTGAGTTTATCCTGAGATAAAAGCATATATATTCTTATCACTTTCCTCTCTGAAACAATCTCTGTCTGGTTCAACTTCTCTTTGAAGGCTGGAAGTGTGGTGTGCTTAGCATGTTGAATGTACATTTACTCTTGGGCTTTTCTGCAGTCCCTGCTGTGGTTGTTATTCCCTGCCAGGAGCCAAAAAACAGATTAGAAGTAATAGACTACAGATTTCTGTTTGATTTCTCTGATTCTACTTAAATTTACATAAGGAAACTGGAATAATTGTTGCATTCAAATATTTTAAAAACCCATTCCTTCAGCACAATATATGTATATTTAAAGATGAGATGCATACTGATCTTCATTTTTGCAATAATAAGCTGATAAAATATGTTTCGTTATTAATTATTTTTATGTCAATCCTGTCATTTTTGGCTCTTGTCTATGTAGCATTTGATGATCAAGAGGATTCTGCTTTGGACAGCTACCCACAAACCATGGGCCAGGTAAGAATAAAAGGTTTTTTATTATATTACTTTTTCAAGTGTGAGAAATATTGTGTCTTTCACTGATTTGGAGAAAGGAATGACAGTTAACAAGACAGCAAACTCATTTATTTATTTTTCTGGTCCTCACCAACGACAGCTTCTTTAAACTTGACATACAAGTTGCTTATCTTTGTATATAGAGATGGCCTGATTCTTTAACTCTCTTCCTTTTATATTCATTGGTACTTATTTTATATTCATATGATGTTAGAATGCTGTCTGGGGGTGAGAATTAGTGGAAAAAGCCAAGCCAGAAGCAGTTGCTCTGAATTCGGGTGGTTTAAGTGATGCACTTGGCCGGTCAAGAATTGGATCTGTTCTCAGATCAAGCTTTTATTTTCTGACTTTGTGAAAAGAGCAAAATAAAGTGCTGTCAAATGAGAATCCTGCATTAACCTCAAACACTGAATAACAGAGTTCAATTGTATTTCATGGGAATCTGGAACAATGAAAAACAGGAGACTGTGTAACAGCAAAGACATTAACCTTGGGGATAACACTGTAGCTAAATGCAGAAATGAAACAGTTTTATTTTTTAAAATAATCACATTAATGCACTTTATAGTTGTAATTTAATGCTTGAAATTCTCATTCAGAGCAATGCTTTGCAGTAAAAGATTTGTTTTCTCTTGTTCTGTTTCCTCTAATAGTTTCTACTGTTTGATTTTAGAGTGGGTTTTCAACATAAATTATTCCTCAGTAGGATTTCTGTAATAAATGGTTGGAACCATGATGTGAGCTATGAGTATTGGTCTTAGGGCTTGATATTATGATGTAGAAATTTGTTATTGTAATGTTTTAATGTGAAAGATTGTATGTGGTCGGATAAGTTAAACATGAGAAATCATTCTTCATTTGATCCATACTTCATACAAACCTTAAATGCAAAGCTCAGTTTGAGCACTGACTGTTCTGAGCCTTATGCAGAGTGACAAAGATAAATTTCTTGATGGAAATGTCTGTGTTACACAAATTACCACAACAGTTGTCATGCGTAGGCAATTTCAGCAAATGGGATTTATACTGAAAAGTAAAAAAAAAAATCAAACCCTAATGCTTAAAAAGAATATGAATTCTTAAAAATGTATTGGGTTTTTAGAACCACAAAGTCAGGGTTAGTAGAATATTAACACTGTAGAGCTGCTCTTTGCTTTGCAGAAGTTTGGCAATTAATTTACATTAATTATACTTTGGCCTCAGAAATGTACTACAGCCTCTGAATTTCCATTTTTTTCTGTTTCACTTTTGTAGTTCAGGAACAAGTCTAATGAATTCCAGAAAAATTCACTGTTGGAATCGGATAGTGCTTTTATTGGTGAGTTTCTACCTCCCCTTAACCATGCTGAGGGTGTACAGACACATGGTTTAGTCTAAAGCTGTGTCTCTAAAATGATTATTACTGTTTTAGAAGTTGCAGTGGTTGTAGCTGTGGTGATTGGTTTGAAGGATTAGGAAGTTATGTCTCCAAATTAAAATGCAGAGATTTATGAAATTTTACAACAGCAAATTTGTGTAGATGACTCCTAAATTTAATGATGCTGCTTAGTTGCCCTTTGCCACCTTACATCTTTTCATGAAAAAGCATCTTTCTCTGCTCTTCATGCTTCATTTGGGAGGTTAGTCTTGTCAAGGGGCTTTTTTTGACATCTTCCCAGCTTTGGATAAGGAAAAGCTAATATTTATTCAGGAAATGTGTTACAATGGTAGCATTGGCAATGCTTTTCTATTGTTCTGCTGCAAATAATTTATTGACAATCACAGCTTACAATTGTAATCTGTCCACAGTGAAATGCAAAAGTCTTAGACAGTCAGCAATTCTTTTCATGGTTATTCTTTTGATTTACAAGCATGCTTGATTTTAAGTATGATTATATGGGTATAAAATAGCAATTCATTCTAAATTACTCACTTTTCTGCTCTTCAGATTTTATTTCATTTCACTTGCAACATTACACTTATAGACATTGTCACTTATTCATCATTTGAAGCAGAAGATTTTTAGTTTTCTAAAGATTTTTGTATAGTCTGCCTCATGTAATGTCTCTCTATTCAGCCTTTACATGCGTGGATGTAAAAGTGCTGGTTTATTTCCAGTTTCTAGAAAAACCCAACCAGCTTAGGCCTTCACATGTTATTTTCCATTAGCAGGCATTTCAGTATCTTGAAATTTCTTTCAGTCATCTATGGGAAATCATCTTGCAAGGTTTTTATTCTTTGCTATAGGGGAGATGCAGCAGAGTCCTGCAGGTACTTTTTAATGAAACAGTGTTTCATTAAACTGATGATTATTATCTCTGGTTAAAAGCAGAATTTTTCGTTTGAAGTTTATTCAAGCCCATTCTGTTAGCATGCAAGTCCTGGAGTACAGGGTAGAACCTGGCACTGGGAAGAGCAGAGGCTCTTAGAGCCCTGTTCAGTGCATTTGGTTCTCTCTGCAGTCTCTCTGCAGTCCTTAACCTTTTCAGGTTAAGGATTACTGTGTATTAGTACAGCCCAGTGGTGAAAGGATGCCTCAGGAGAGCCCATCAGTTTAGGCTGCAGCCAAATATCCCATCTCAGCCAGGACAGGCTCATGGAGAGGAGCACACGCTGCAGGGCAGACATGCAGGGCTCTTCCAGCTTCCAGTGACCTGTAGCTGATTGCATTTCATAGGCCTTGCTAAGCTGGCCTTTCACAGGTTGTCTTTCACCAATTGGAATTGGCATTTTTGAATCCCTATTCACCATCAGCAGTATTGTGTGCATAAATATCCAGCCTGTGCCTTCTGTGAACTATGTCCTTTCATCTGCTGTGAGGCTGCCTGTTCTGTAATGGGGTGTTCTTGGCTATTTCCTAAGGTTCATGATATTTATAGTCCTCTCACTTTTTCTCTTCTTCTTCCCATCCACCTGGTACTTGCAGTTTACTGAGGTGTTTAAATTAACCTAGTAATATTTAATCCCCCCATCCCCTTTTTTCATTTTCCCCCCAGATCATTTATGGCTGATGAAAACTATGTTCTTCAATAGTGAGCTGTATGCATTAACTAAAAATGTGTTATCCTTTGCATTGTTTGGGCTTCATAAATAGCTACTAACATTCTGAATATGAATCTGGTGACTTCCACCTCTGAAATGAAAAATAAAAACTGTCATTCTCTCTGTGGGCTGCCTTCTCTGTGAGCTGTGCTGCTCACATTGTCTGAGGGTCTTTGGTGAGATACAGGGGGTGTATTTTAACAGTGTTTGCCATTTCCTAAGAGGAGTGTAACACTACCCTCTGTTTTGCTTCAGGTTTTTTTTGGCTGGGTTTAAAATCCAACTCAATTTTGACATCTGTTATGTCAGCATTACATATGAGTTTATCTCCTAGGGCTCAGAAACTTGAGGCAGTTAGAAATAAAGTGTTTGAGGCAGTTAGAAATAAATTAGTTTCTTTTTTTCCTTTTTTTGCCTCATTGAAAACCCTAGAATCCATTAGTGTTAATGCAGTGATTTAAAAGCATCTCTGTGCAGCAGCATCTGAATGATAGATGCTTACAGGAACAGGTAGCATCTGATCCTGATGATACAATAATGGTACAAATAAATTCTTAAGCTTGTCCTTTGTTGTGAAATTAACAAATTCACATTGTTAAATCATTTTTTATATTCCAAGTAATAGCACTGTTTTGAATATAGTGAAGTTCAGTTGGTCTTGTAGCTGGAATTCTGATAGGTAATTTGTTAGCCTTAGACCATTTCAAAATTATGCTTTGTTTTTTTTATTTGAAACATTTGTGATGAGAGCATGAGTACTGTTGGTGAAACTGGGGAAGAGAAGATATGAGAGGAGAATAAAAAATGTATTTTTAGGGAAAAAACAACTGACAATATAAAATAATTTTAAAAATACCTCTTTTTGTTATTCTGAATTTGTTTGATATCAATCAAATTTATTTTTCAAACCTAATGATTTCAACCAAAATAACTGTTTAATTCTTACATTTAGAATTTACACACATTTATCCTTTAATTTTTTTTTTTAACTATATGTGATATACTGGACTAAGCCTTTTTCTGAGCCATGACTTTGTTGTCACAAAGTGCATTTGGTGGTAGTGGATTCTGTAGAGGTTTTGTTGAGCAGAGTCCTTCCTTTTCCTGGGAGGCTCTGTTCCTGAAGATGCAGAGGGGCTGCAGTAGGAAGCAGAGCCCACTGTCTGCACCAAGCAGCAGCAAAGGCATCAGCCAGCCCCAGGCTGGGGTTCCTGCTCCTGCAGGGAAAAACAGAAGTACTTGTTTGAAACAGTTTGTGTTCGAGTTTCCAGAGTCAGCAAAAGAGGGGGAAATAGACAAGTGTGAAGCAGAGACATGATCTTAGGGTTCATGTGTATTATAAAAAGAGATTAAACTCCTCCCACTGTAATGTGATACAAGTATGATCAAAAAGTGTAGTTATTTATTCTTGTATGAACAGATGCTAACATTTTATTACATGAAAAGGCAGAGATATGACCAAGGATGTGTGATAAAAGCATAGAGTTTGTGTTATCATATTCCATGTAACACTGTCAGTCCATCTAATGTTATTATATATTTCATTAACATATTTATTTATGACTCTGATTTTCCAAGTGTTCTCCCTTTCAAGTAGAGGTGCTGTGCTCATTTGAGTACTCATTTGCTTTAAAGGTCTGGGTACAAACAACATTTGTAATGAATACATTCCTGTGATACAGTCATGTACAACTTACTGGCTTGTTTCAAAACATGAACAGGTTGGAGCACTCTCTGGTATTTAGATTTCTTTGAAAATCATTTCACCTGTTTTTCCAGGTGCTAATGGGGAAATGTTTTCTGCCTTAGAAGAAGTGAATTTATTACCACAGCATCCACTTTCTGCAAGGGAGAGGAGACGACTGAAGCAGAGAGCTTTGGAGAGTGCTGCACGTGTAAGAACTCACAGCTGTAATGTCAGACAGCTCCTGTGCTCCCACAGTGACTCCGTGTTATGGCTCCTGAGGGAGTACACGTGTAGTTATTTGCCCTTTTAAAAAGGATGCTCTTTAACTGGAGGATTTGTGCAATTTTGGATTCCCTGCAGGAGGAGGTTCCACCAGGGCAGACGCCTTTGCTGCAGCCTGACAGCCTCTCCCTGCACTCCAACTTCAGCCTCGACGCGGATCAGGTGAAAGGCAAGAACGAGGAACGACTGCACAGACTGACTGAGCTCCAGCAGAAATCTCCTTCCTTGGGTATGCTCCCTGTAGCAGAGATGATGTAGTGAACACTAAGTAATTACAATCATTAAAGGAACAAATAATAATAGGCTTCATGTAGCAGAACAGTGAGCAATCAAATCAAACGCAGGAGTTACTTACAGAGCTCTGTAGCCGGTACAAGGGCTTCCCCAGTGCGCCTCACCACAACTTGTTTAGACTAAGTTTAGAGAAGGAGAGTAGGAAAAGGTTCTCATATTCCTGTCTGACCAGCCACTCCTGCTTGTCCTGTGAGCAGCACTGCAGTGTGGGCAGCAGGATGGGGATGTCCAGCTGCACAGCTGGAATGGCAGTGAAGAAATAAAGCACCCGAGTGGTGAATGATGATGAGGTGCCTGTGTGAGTTGATTGGCACTCCTGGGAGTCAGATGTCTGTGGTCCAACCAGCATGAAGATATGCCAGAGAATTGTGCATGATGAAGTACTTCAGTTTCTAGTTAATTTGATATTCTAGTGGTTTGTTAATATTAATCATCGTTCAGTATTTGAGTATGTAAGTATTTGATACTGATACCTCTTTCACTGCACACACACTTGAATTCATTCCAAGTTTCTTACATCAGGTTCTGGGAGCTGTCTTGGAGCATCTCCAAATGCTGGCTGACTGATCTAGATCCCTTTTGTGTATGAAGTACCAGTCATGGCAACCATTAATGGCCTTTAATTTCTCACATGGATTGAGACCCAGTTCATACACTTTGTGCTAATGATTCTTTCATATGAGTCTGAAATCTCCCTTTTTTGGAGGTAGTTGCTATGCTGTTTAGGCAATTACAGTATCAGTATCCTTTTCATAAACTTAAAGAGAGTACAGATGCTGGCAGTATTTTTGATTCTGTTGCTATGGGTACTCTTACAAGCACTTCATCTTTTTTTGTTGTTTGTTTGTTTTAACCATCTCACTGTGGTTTTAAGTCACTAAAAAAATAAACCCCATTCATACTAATTTTCTTCTATAATCTAAATAAACTCTTTACTAATTTTACTCCACCCAGATATATTTGCTGTGTGAACTACTACTACTTCAGTATCTTTTGTTGTATTTCACCTCTTTTATAATGCACTACACTTTTTATTTTGTTTGCCTTCTGTTTGTCACATCCTCCAGAGCTTCAGCCTTTAGATAAATATAATTTTGATATGTGTGTATGTGTATATCTATCTATATTTATATGTCTGTATGTAGCTTGTTCTCTGGAGCACATGGAGACCCATCACTCATCCTTGGCATTTGTGCCTCTTGGAAAGGCAGCAATAGATCCTCTTGCTCAGCTGTGGTTGTTCAGGCTGCACTGCTGCTTGCCCTCCTGTTCCCTCCTTGTGCTCAGGGATGTTACAGGAAAAGTGAGTGAAGCCAGGCTTTTTTACTCCTTTTCCCTAACAGTCTGAAAGGACCCTTGTGGCATCTCTTGCTTTCTGAGCAGCCAGGACTGTCGTTTCTCCTCTGTTCTCAGAGTCTGCTGAGAGAAAACAAATCTCTCAAATATATAACTGAGGAACCCAGTTATCTTCCCTTGAAATGACCAGAGATAGCAATTCACAGGCTTTGATAAATTCTAAAGCTGATCTGGTTCAATAAGGAGGCTCTGTTCCCAGCAGTTCACTTTCTCCTATGGCACTGATGTGGCAATCCTAAAGGCATCATAGTATTGTTTTCTTAATTGGAAAATTAGACAAAAGGAGTCAGGCCTTCTCCTCATTTTTACCCATCCAAAAAAACTCCCATGAGTTAGACTTGGTGAATATTTGGGTGATGGAGTCTCTGTCAAGCAGGGTATGTGTGTTCCTAAGGGCATAAACAAGAGCGGGCTCAGATACAGAAGAGGGAATTCTCACAGATTCGGGCACACAAGATGTGCTGCTGTTGGTGTTCTGCAGGAATCCAGATACCATTCCATTTCTAAACCAGGATTTCACGCTAAGGAAAAGCTTTCCTTAGCCTCAGCCTCCACATGCAAACTTAATTATCAAGAGTCTTGATGTGTGTCCCAATTAAGGACAGTTTTTTAGGGAGTGTGTGAAGTGTTGAAATTCATGAAGAAGTTCTGCAGTGCAGCTGATCTGCTGTGCTTTCTCAAAGCAGCACCAAGTGAGTCTGATCCAGTGATGTGCACTGTGATCTTGGCTCTGGCAGAACAGCTGATCTTGCCTCTGGCATCTGCAAGATCTAAAGGCCTTGTTTTAAAGGCAGGAGTAGTTAAGTGTGGGGAAATGCAGCCCTCTGGCCTGGACATTCACAGTTTCTTTGTCTCTAAACAACTTTATTTTTATTGTTGCTAGATATCATCTCTTAAAGCAGCAAACAGAAAATTAATTTTCTTTAGGTATCTCTTTTCCTGCTGTGTGCAGTTAACCCCTTTAAACCTACATATGCAGAAAACTGTGGGTTCCAACCCATGGGAGAGTTGATCTGATCCAGGATTTGGGAGACAAAGAGGTTCACTCTGCCAGCTTCAAGCACAGGAGATGACAGGCCCTAGAGAGAGGGAGGTCTGCTCTCACTTCTAGTGTTGCAGACAAGTTTTACCCAGACTGGGAAGGCTTGGAGGATGATCAGATCACTGTCTGTATGATGTGACAGAACTAATGATTCCTGCCAAGTTCTTTTGGAACAAAAAGTATTTGGCATTTTGTTTTAGAACCTGCAATCCCACCTAAAAGACAAAGAGGGAAACTGAGTCCTTGCTCCCAGTGTATGTGGGGTTGTGCAGTTCTGCCTTCCCCTCACCCCTGCACACCTGCCTGCTGCTTCTCCAGGCCTTGGGCTCTCACACCCATCCAATTTCAGTTTTTAATGAGACTCTTCACAGAAGCTTTGTTTTAAATTCTCATTTTTAAAAGTCATCATTTTGGCAGAATAAAACCCTGAAATTTGTAAAATCATCCAAATACTTAAATTACATTATTAATTGCTTAGGTGAATTATTTAATCACTAAAGACTATACAATTCTGTTTTGCTTGAATTAGAATGTTTTTGCAAAAATGTTGATTTTTTTTTTCTTCTTGATCCAGAGTCTTTAAATATGTTTCTGCCCACCTTTATTACCAAGAAACCAGAACCTCTTCATTGACGTGGTTCAGTTTTAAGAGGAAAACATTGCATTTTTCAGTTGTTATAGATAGAGAAATTTTGCATAATTTTTTTTGGTTTAAGTAAAAAATTAGACGCTGTGAAGCCAAAAAATGAACAGCATAGAGGAACTTAGATCTTTATACCCCTTCATGTACAGTAAAAGTGTATGTTGTTTGATAATACACACTAAGAACTATTTGTTTGAGGTATTAGATGTATGTATAATTGCTGACAGAATTGAAACAATTAACAGTAGAGTTCAGAGTGATAATGACCCCAGGTTCATAGGCAAGGCAGTTCTGGTTTTTGTTAGGTGGGGCTTGTTTGGTAGCTGGAAGATCCCAACTTAGCCAGCTTAGTTTCAGCATGACATTCACTGAGGTTTGGGCTGTGATGCACAAGCTGACTTGGACTTGCACTGTTATACCAAGTAACAATTCTTCCTCAGTAGAAGACTGCTTATACAAGGTTCAGTCAAGCCACTGTAATTGAATGGCCTTATTTTCCCATGCATTTTTGTGCATACAGCCACTGACAGATTTGATTCTCCCTAAATAGAAGCTTTTTGGAAAGCAAGAACCCTCTGCCGAGCCCACCCACCTCTGCCTGTATCCTTATCCCCTTGCTGATCTGCTGGGAGGAGCTGTTGAGGCCCAGTTCCCCAGAACATCAGCAAACGAGTGCTAAGTAGAAATGTCATTTCAAAACATTATTATAGATATCATTTCAAAGCATTATTTTATATATATATAATTTAAAAGCATTATTGCTGCACTGATTGCAGCCAAGCCTGTCCCGTGTCGTGATGGCAAGAGCTTCTGTCCCGTCTAACACACGTGTTGCTCTCCTCTCCAGGTGATGACATTTCCTTAGGGGATGTGGACGACCTTCTGAAGCGTGCCCAGTCCCAGGCCAGCTCCACGGACACGGTGGCCACGGAGCCCTGGCTGCGGCCGGGAACGTCGGCCACGCTCCGGCGGCTGCTGGAGCAGCCGAGCTCGGCCAAGCTGTCCCCGGAGCCCGCGCTGCCGCGGGGCTGGCACGGGCTCTCCACCGCGCACGGCTGACCCGCCGGCACCCCAGGGCATCCGCAGGGAGGGAGAGCTCTCCCCTGTGCAGCGTGGAGCTCCGTGGAACTGCAGACAGCAATAATAAAGGATCAGACGCTGCAGTGGAACGGAGATGGAGCGCGGGGATGTTTTCTGTTCCGTGATGTGGGACACAAGGAATGGCTTGGCAGCTTTTGCACTTTTTATACGACTTAAGTTTCAGCCTCAGAAACAGAGTGTGGTGTGTGTGTGTGAATTTGATATTAAATCAAAGATGTTTTTTAGGTTTATAGTAAAACTTCGGAACTTTCTGGCATTAGAGCAGCCCAAGAGCAGAAGGGCATTAGGTTTTTACCCAAAGAGTAACTTGAACAAGGACACTTGGTTTTCATACAGGATAGATGCTGTCTTGCACAGCTAACACTTTCATGGAAAAAAAATTACTATTAACAATGTGTCTTACATTCCCTAACTTGTTGTGTGCTGAAAATACAGATATTGTTGAATATATTTATGGTTCTGATTGAAGAGTTAATAAAGTATTTTGTTACTAAAATTATTTTTGTTATAAAAACTGTGAAAGCCAACTTCAATTTTCTTAATTTATGATTTGCTTCAGCTTTCATCTACTCATGAGCAAACTGGAGTGTTAAGGCTGTCCCCAAAGAAATAAAAACACATGGAAAAATCTGCTCATTGAGAGCACAGAGCTTCAGCAAGAAGGACATGGAGCAAGATTTTAGGAGTTCAGTGAACTACACAACCACAGTGAAGCAGGGGTAATGCTGCAACTTTCCTTTTGGTTAGGAAATTCCCAGCCAGAGGCCTAAATCTGATCAACAGGGGAAGGAATGACCCTAATAAACCACTGATGAAAATAAGAATTTTTTACAAGGTCTTTTATTTTTACTACATTGCCACCTTCAAGCTTTTGTAAACCTGTCAGAAGGCCACAGCAGCTCCATGATGACAGCAGGCAATGTTTGCTGACAGATGTACTTTCAAACCTGTGTGGTGTTGAGCTTCTTCATGGCTTACACATTCCTTTCCAGAGAGGATTTGCCAAATCAGGAAAATTCTTACCCTGAATTTCTAGCTCAACAGTAAGAAGGTTCAACAGTGTGGGTCTGACAGCAGTGGCCACTCAAGCAGGGGCACTGGTGCAATCCCTGACCTGGGCTGGAGCAGGTACCTCGGGCTGCATGGCTGCTTCAGTCTGGACTTCCTAGAGACAGAGGAAATAGCTTTGTGAAAATGCTTGATATAGTTTTTGGCTCTTATGCCAAAGCCCACCTTATGGCTTTTATACTTTGCCACCTGCCCTGATGGCTCTCTCCAGTTGCCTCACAAATTGAAGTTTTGAGACACATTCACTGTACCAACTCCAGACTAAATGCAGAATTTCCTTTCTTCTTCATCTAACTGCCTACAGAGTTTAATTATTATTTCCTTAATTTTAATTGGGAGTTTTTCCCCTGAGAGAAGCATGAAGTGTTCCCCTAAAAAGCCACCCTCGTTTCACTGCAGTAAGTTTCATAAATGCCACAGACCATCAGAAGCTGGCATTCCTTTCCTCCTGTTCAAGGCCAGGATGTGGCACAAGCCCTCTTTGGATTACTTTGCTCATCTGTGCCATGGCCTGACACCACTGAAATGACTTAAACCTCACTGCTCAGCAGCCCTTAGCACCATGAATTCCACTCTTCCCTGCAGCTACCCTCCCTTGGGCACTATTCGGGACACTGAATCCTTTGCATCTTCCCTTTCCAGATCTTTCTTCAGCACTCTCCGCCTCTTCAAAATTCAGCTTTTTGGCAGGGCCCTTCTGCCTCCCTAACCTTTTATCATGACAGCCTCACCTGCAAAACAAACGTATCTGCAGTCCCAGCCCTGATGGATATTGAGATCACTAAAAGAGAACCTATTCTCTGCCCCTGACCCCAGATTTCTGACAATTACCATGTATGTGAGCATTCAGAGTTTAACACGATGCCCAGAGTACACCTGCTGCTGCTCTGGCACTGCAAGAACTAGAGAGGCACAAAAGAGTTACAATGACACCAAAGCTCAGTTCCCAATGAACCAAAATTAACTGCTGAGCCTTGTCCACATGAGCAATAAATAAGGCTTGAGAAGGCCAGGCTATAAAAGAATAATGTCCTTACTAAAGAGGTGTACACAACAAAACAATAAAGCAGAGAGGTTTAAAACCAGAAAGAGCCCCAAAACTCCAACTGCCCAAGTTTTTAGATAATTCATTGTACTCACTGTTCTATCTTGAACACAGATGATTAGAAAGCACTTGGGCAGACACACAAGGAACAGTGGCTGTTTCAATAGTGCTCAGGGCAGCAGTGTCAGGGACACCCTGGTAATGGTCAGAACAGTGAATAGGATGGGACACATTATATTATGACAATGAATAGGATGGGACACATTATACTCACTGTAAAAAATTATTACTGAACACTGTCAGACAAAGACCTTATGTCTGTCACAGCAGTTTAACCTTAAAACACAGCACAACAAACTAAACAAGTAAAATACAGCCCAAGAGGAAAGGCTACGATTAATTCAAATAACCTCAATTCTACCCCTTCTGACTCTGCTAATTGCTATTTGGTTGTGCTCCACCCCAATTAACTTTGTGAGCAAACTCTGAACCACAGGTCATGGCATTTTAATTCCCTTTTCTGGCTTTTCCAATAGCTATTTCACTGAACTGCTTACACTTATTTCTGGAGCCTGCTGTGAATGTCTGTGGCAGATACATTGCCCTGAAAGAGAGGAGGCTCCCTCACACACCTTGCTCTTCACACTGCTCTGCTGTGCCAGTCAGGAGTTTTGTGGGAACACTGGAGAACAATCCAATCCCACTCTTACTAACAAAATTGAAGATGCTGACAAGGCTGAGCTGGCTGATGTGTTCCAAGGCAGCAGAACTGCAATCCCAGCCCTTCCCTTCCCCCTTTATCCAGCAGCTGTTTGGTGTTTGTGTTTTAATCCCCAGAGAGCAAAGTGCAGCTTTGAGCTTCTATCTGTGCAGCACTACAGGGTCCATCTGACCTGTAGTTCATGTACAGGTCATGTAACCCTTTTATTCTCCTCCAGCCCTGCCCACTTTTAATTTTTTTTTTAATTTACCACTCCTTTTCCCCCTGTATTTGTCTCTAACAGTGAGAAGAGGCATCCCAGTCGACCAGAGGGCACCCAGCTTTCTGCTCCCAGGGCCTGGGGTTGGCTCCTTTGAAACAAAAGCATGAGAGGCAAAGCAAACTGTAAAACAAGTAGCTGTGGATTAGACTGGTTTTGATTGCACTGATGAAAGAGTTCAAAAACTTTATTGACCTATAACCTGATTAGAATATGCCAGATGAGAACCAAATATTGTACAGAAAGTTGTACAGAATTTTTTTTTACATAGAAAACTTTACATATCTGTACCATATACATTTTGTCCATCTGAAAAAAATTTCTACATCCATTGTAATACAGAATGCTTGACAATCTCGTCTGTTAACCATCAGAGCACAATTCACAGTATGAATACATTTCCAATAAATTGAACCATCCCCAAACCATGCCAGATTTGTTACTTGAATATATCCAACATTAAATTCTGTACATAAGAGTGAAATCTACATCAAACAAAAAACATCTGACAGCAGACACAACCTAGACTTGTTTGCAGTGATTCAAGTTCCAGTCCTTGAAGGATCATCATTTCAATGGCTCGTTATATTTAAAAGCCCTAAAACAAGTATATTACAGGTAGTTATGTCAGTCGTGATATTTCTACCGCTGTTCTTGACAAAAGTCAGCAACAATAACTTCTGGGCTACAATGAAACAAAACAAAACAAAAATAACAAAAAAGGAAGAAAAAAAAAATCACAACCCAAAAAAGAAACCCAAACTTCTAGTGCATTTGGTAAACAAGGAAGAGTTATGGGCTTTCAACAAATCAGTATTACAGAAATAAAATAATTTGGGAAGAACTGTATAGTGTTAAAGAGTTTATATTACAGATCTGCATCTCTGTACATTTTCACAGAAGGATGATTACCAATGTCTCAGACAGCCTGAGTGTGCAAAAATCTTAGAATATCAGACATAGTTGCTAAATATTTTTTTCCATGAACAATAATCTCCATTTTCTTTTCACTATAAACATTTTATCCTTCAAAATACAGCTCTCCTGAGTTGTACTTCTCGCAGAAGCTCAAACCTTTACATATACATGTTTCTTTGGGTACATTTCACTTTCACACCCGCCATAAACATCTGTTGCTATGCTGCTGTCTAGGACAGTAAAGGACACTGCAGCCCGTGCTGACAAAGGGGACTGTGCTATAAACTGGCTCTGTGCTGAGCAGGAGCCAGGCAAGAGAAACCGATGAGAGAGAATCCGCCAGGAATGAGGGACTGGAGTGTTGCAAGCCTTAATTACAGTTGGAAGCGTCTGTACCGTTAACCCTTGGATACACGTTGCCAGAGAAAGAAACCATTTATATGGAGATCCAGACAGAATGGCCCAGCTACCTGGTCCTTTTATTTAGCTGAGGAATATAAACCCGGAAAGAGATCGTCACTATCTGCTAATGCTTGCTTATTCCAGGCTCTTGTTCTGGTGGTTGGGATATTTGGAAAACCACACCAATCCGCAGGAAAAACCTTCTCAAAACAGCCCGAAGCTCAGGAATAAGGTCAAACTGCATGATTTCACACAACAAAGGATAGTAGAATGAAGCATGGGCCTTGAACTGAGGAGAAAACAAACAAGAAAGAACTCTGTTATACATCGGTACACCTCAGACAGCACACTGCAAAATCAGAATTTTAAATACCTTCCCAAATGAGGGTGAGAAACCCACCAAGTGACAAGCAGAAACACCTTTACAACAGAAATCAGCAGTGCCAGAATAAGGCTAAGACAGCTGTGATATACTCTGACAGATGCTCACCAGCTATACAAAGCTCCTTACTAATGCTTATTCTCCAAGAGGAAATATTTTTCTTTTATGAGCTTTTTTCTTGCAGCTGGCCTTTTTCATCACTTAATTATTTCAGCCAAGTGTTCTTAGAGGGGGATTAAACAAGGATTTATTTACTGCAGAATTTCTTTGGAGAAGGTCAAGGTGTATGTGTACCTGCAGCAGCACTGGCAGCAGAAACAAGAGTGAATTCTTTGAATAAAATATCATCACTAATTGTCTTCCTCAGCAGGAGAGGGTAAAAACAATTCAACACACACTTCTAAAGGATTCCAGCATTTTAAACTTCTCTGACACATTTTATTTTATCACTCACTGCACCTTCACACTGAATTATTAGTGTCAGTATCTGTCAAGTGCAGTTTGAATGTACATTCCCTCAACACAAGAGTGTCTACAGAGCAGCAGGAGCTTTTAATGTCAAGTCTGTAACTGTGTGTGATGAACTGGTTTGGAACTACGTCTTACCTGTACATGTCATCTCAAACATCATTCCAAACAGTTACTTACCCTTTCATCACTTATCTTCAGGACTTTAGTCAAAAATAAGAGTAAAAGGTTAGTCCAGGCTTCCCGATGACTTTCTGATGTAAGAGTGAGGAAATAGCTCAGAGCCTCGCTGCACACACTGGAGACAAAAGACACCAAAATAACAACTCACATTTCCTTCTGAGCTCTACTGCAGAAAGAGAGCTTT